TTTGAAGTGTGGTAAAATTCGGGTGTGAAGTTCTGGACCAGGACTTTTCTTTCTGGGGGAGATTTTTAATTGCTGTTTCTATTTCAGCTGTTGAGATTGGTCTGTTCAGGGAATCTATTTCTTCCTGATTGAGCCTAGGAGCTGTGTGTTCTAGAAATTTGTCCATCTTCCTCCACATTTTCCAATTTGGTGAATAAATTTTTGTAGTACTCATATATTATATCTTGTGTCTCTTTGGATCGTTGTGATATCTCCTTTTTGTTCCTGATGAGCTTATTAGAGATTTCTCTTTTCTGCTTTTCGTTAGCTTGACAGTGGCGTGTCAATTTTGTTTATTTTTCAAAGAGCCAACTTTTTGTTTTTATTAATCTCCTGAATAGCTCCCTGTTTTCAATTTCGTGTTAGTTCTGATTTGATCTTGTTGATTTCACTTCTTTCTGCTGTGTTGTTGGCTGGTCTGTTCTTCTTTTCCAGCTCCTGAGTCGTTCGTTAGATTATCTATTTGTGATCTTTTGACTTTTGGTTATAGCATTTATGGAGATAAACTTTCTCTCAAACGCTTTAGCTCTGTGTCCAGAGGATTTGATAACTTGTCTGTCCATTGTCTTTTGTTCATAGACTTTTTTTATTTCCATCTTGATTTCTTCATTTATTAAGTAATCATTTAGTAGGAGGTTGTTTAATTCCACGTTTTTGTGTAGAATGTGAGTTCTGTTAGGGTTGGATTTCTGCTTTTATTCCACTGTGATACTGAGAAGATAACATGGTATGATTTCTATTTTTTTAATTCTTGAGGTTTACTTTGTGTCCTAGGATAATGGTCAATCTTAGAGAATGTCCCGTGAGCTGATGAGAAGAACGTATATTCAGTGGATTTTGGGTAGAATGTCCTGTAAATGTCAGTAGACCCAATTTGTTTAAGTCTATATTTCTTATTATTTCTTTGGAGGATCTGTCTCGTGCTGTCAGTGGGTGTTGAAATCTCCGGGTATTATGGAGGTTGCTATTAATCATTTGCTTAGCTCCAGTAAGTTTGCTTTATGAATCTGGGTGCACCTAAGTTGGGTGCATATATATTTAGAATTGTTATCTCTTCTTGTTGAACTGTGCCCTTTACCATTATATAATGACCCTCTTTGTCTTTCACCTTTTTTGTTGCTTTAAAATCGAAATCATCTGAAATTAGAACGGCCACGCCAGCCTCCTTTTGGCTTCCATTTGCTTGATATACTGATCTCTATCCTTTTAGTTTTAGTCTATATGCATCCCTGCAGGTTAGATGTGTTTCCTGAAGACAGCATATACTTGCCTGTTTTTCTTATCCATTCAGCCAGCCTATGTCTCTGAGTGGAGAGTTAAGCCATCACATTTATTGAGAGAACTGATAGGTAAGGTAGATTACTGTTCATTTGTGTGGTTGGATGTTGTTGGTATGATTTCTGTCTTGAGCCATTGTAATATCTGGCCTTTAATTTTTGGGTTTTGGTTGTTTTTATATTCATGGTGTATTATTATGAGTTTCCGTGCATAACGCTGTTTAGAGTACTTCTTGTAGGGCTGGTCTTGTCTTGGTGAATTCTCTGAGACTTTGCTTGTCTGAGAAATGTCTTTATTTCTCTTCATATACGAAGCTTAGTTTTGCCGGAATAAGATTCTAGGCTGGGCATTTTTTGTTTCAAAGAGTAGAATGGGGCCCCAGTCTCTCCTTGCTTGTAAGCTCATTAGAGAAGTCTGGTGTTATTCGAATTGGCTTTCCCTTGTATGTTTCATGCTTCTTCATCTTACAGTTCTTAGAAGGGCCTCTTTAGTTTGATATTGTTGGTCAGTCTGATGACTGCATGTCGTGACATCTTTCCTGTTTGCATTGAATCTCCCAGGGGTCCTCTGAGCTTCTTGAACTTGTATATCGAGATTTTGAGCAAGGCTGGGAAATTTTTCGTCCTATCTGCTGGAAACTCAGACTTGTGGGGGGACGGGGGAAATGGGCATTTATTGAAACCTTAAAATCTGTACCCCCATTATATGCCGAAATAAAAAAAAAAGGAGAAAAAAATGACCATACAGCCAAAGCAATCTACAGATTCAATGTAATTACTATGAAAGTACTAATGTAATTTTTTACAAAATAGAAGAAAATAATCTTAAAATTTGTATGTAACCAAAAATGGTCCCAATAACCAAAGCAATCCTAGCAAAGGAACAAAGCTGGAGGCATCACACTACCTCACTTCAAAATCTATTACAAGGTTAGAATAACCAAAAAAGCTTGGTATTGGTATAAAAATATATATGTAGACCCATGGAACAGATATAAATTTAGTTATTTATAGCCAACTGATTTTCAACAAATGTGCCAAGAATATACATTGGGAAAAGGATACTCTCTTTAGTAAATGGCACTGGAAAACTGGATATCCATATGCAGAAGAAACTAGATCCCTATCCCTCACCATATACAAAAATCAACTCAAGATGGATTAAAGATTTAAACTACTAGAAGAAAACACTAGGGAACTACTTCAGACATTGGTCTAGGCAAAGAATTCATGACCTAGACCTCAAAAGCACAGGCAACAAAAACAAAAATAGATAAATGGTATTCTATTAAACCAAAAAGCTTCTATGTAACCTTAACATTTGTATTCCCATAATATGTCGGGAGAAAAAAAGCTTCTGTACAAGGAAACAATCAAGAAAGTGAAGAGACAACCTATCGAATGGGAGAAAATATGTGCAAACTATTCAGTCCCTGACAAGGGACTAATATCCAGAATACACAAGGAGGTAGTTAAACAACTCAACAGCAAAAAAACAAAACAAAGCAAATAATCCCCTTGGCAAGTGGGCAAAGGAAATGAATAGACATTTCTCTATAAAGACATACAAATGGCCAAATAAGCAAATGAAAAAATGCTCAACATCAGGAAATGCTAATCATCAGGGAAATGAAAACCATAATGAGATATCATCTTACACCAGTCAGAATGGCTATTATCAAAAAGTCAAAAAATAACAGATGTTGGTAAAGATTTAGAGAAAAGGAAATGCTTATATACTGTTGTGGGGAGGAATGCAAATCAGTACAATCTCCATAGAAAACAGTTTAGAGATTTCTCAAAGAACTAAAAATAGAACTACTATCCAGTTCAACTATCTTATTACTGGGTATTTACCCAAAGGAAAAGAAATCATTATATCAAAAAGATACCTGTAAAGACTTGGAACTAACCTAAGTATCCATCAATGGATGATTTGATAAAAAAAAAAAAGTGTGGTATATGTATATCATGAAATACTACTTAGCCATAAGAAAGAATGAAATTATGTCTTTTGCACCAACATGAATGGTACTGGACGCCATTGTCTTAAGTGAAATAACTGAGAAACACAAAGTCTAACACCGCACGTTCTCACTTATAAATGGGACATAAATAATGCGTACACATGGACATAGAGAGTGGTATGTAATAGACATCGGAGACTTGAAACAGTGGGAGTTGGGAGGGGTGTGAGGGATAAGAAGTATTTAATGGGTGCAACATATGCTATTTGGGTGATGGCTATATTAAAAGCCCAGACTTCACCAGTACACAATATATTCATATAACAAAACTGCACTTGTACTTCCTGAATCTATAAAAACAAAGAAAAAGGAAAATGTGGCATACAAACACAATGGAATACAATTCAATCATAAAAAAGAATGGAATCACGTTATTTGCAGCAACATGAATAGAACTGGATGTCATTACGTTAAGTGAAATAAAGTCCAGGACACAAAGACAAATATCACATGTTCTCACTCATATATGGGAACTAAAAATTTGATCTCATGCAGGTAGAGTGATAGATACCAGAAGCTGGGAAGGGTATGTGAGTGGGAGTGGGGGGATAGGAGAGGTTGGTTAATAGGTATGAGTATACAATTAGAGAGAGTAAGTTCTAATGTTCAATAGCAGACTAGCGTGACTATACTTAACAATAATATATTGTATATTTCAAAATATTAATAGCTAGAAGAGAGAACTGAAATGTTCCCAACATGTAGGAATGATAAATACTCACAATGATGGATACTCTAAATACCCTGACTTTATCATTACACGGTCTCTGAATGTAAGAAAATATCACATGTACTCAATAAATATGTACAGTTATTATATATCAATAAAAATAAGAAAAAATATAATAGAAGTATCACAAGCATTCATATAAGAAGTATGCATGTATAATAAAAATGGACACTGTTCCCCACAAAGCAATACTCAAATCTAAACAGTTTTCTTTTGTAAATTTCTAATGGCTTCTCTTTACTTCCAAAATAAAGTTCAAAATACTTAACATGATATTCAACATCTTCCACTGCTCTAATAGGCCTTTCAAATACACACCCCATATTTTCCTACCTTACTTCAAAATGGACCCTAGACTATCTTGTTTGATTTGATGTCAGTAGTTTAAATTCTGCCTAGATAATTCATTTGTCTCAACTGAAGCACTCTTGGGGCCAATTGCTTAAAAAAGTTATAGGCCAATTAATTTGAATGTTATGAATTTTTTTAAAGGTAGAATTTTTAACAATTGCCCAAGCCCTCTATTCTATCTGGTCCAAACGAAGAAATTCTGATTAATTTATAAGTGCTACTAAAAATTTATTATTCATATCAAAACCACAAATCACACTTATACTACAGAACTAAATAGACATATAATATTGTGGCTTAGGGATTAAAATGGATGTATGTGACAATTCTTTCCCAGTTCTTTATATTTTTATATCAATAATCAAGAAATAAGCCTTTTAAAAATGATTATAATCTTTAATTTAAAAAATTAAATAAGTAAAAAATAATAATGATTGAGCAGATTATACTTCTCTGTATATAGGTAGGACAATTTGTTCATTGAAGAAATGATTTTTCAATGTTTTCAAGGATAACAGAAAATATATTACCCACCATGCATTTTTTACCTGTATATGGTATATTTTAAGCTTTTACCTTTGTATTTCTAAAGAATAAAAGATTGGTTCAAGATAAAGCCAATTTCTTTGACAATTCATCCAGTCCTCAATGGTGTAAGAGAAGAGAGTCAAGTTTTGATCCCATTTAGTCACAAGATCCTACAATGATAAAAACATACAGACATACAAATCTAAATATCTTAAATTATTCTATAAGAGTCACATAATAGAAACTAGATCAAAGGTGATTAGCAGTCATTGAATATGCAAAATAATTAATAGAAAGTCACATAAATGATTTTCTGTTGTGATTGGTGGATACAGGCACTATTCCCAGCACTGTGTGAGCACCAGGCATTGTTCCCTATGGTCCAATTAATTAACATTTTCCCTAAATATATGTGTTTGAAAATAATGTGAATTCCATTTGTTGGGTACATACTTCTCTTTAACTCTTTAGCAATTACTATATAGGTGCATGCATATATGTGTGTGTGAGTTCATCTATGAGCCATTATTTTCAGTTTGCTATTTACTATCTCTATTAATACATATCTTGTTGAGTTTCTTGAAGTTTATTTTTTATTTTTATTTTTTTAACTTTTACTCATGGACGAGGCTCTGGGGCCCCAAGAGAGGGGGACCCCAGAAGTCTCTGCAAAGTTTTAAAATAATTGCTAGGTACGTAACTGGATGTGGGGTGGCATAGTAAAGGACTATCAGGGAACACTGAACACTGATGGTAAAAGTCATGGTATATAGGGTAATATTTTTATATGATTTAAATTGATCTTGTCCACCCAAATTAGACATTTTGATATTTCCTCGTGAACAATTAATGCTTCCATAAAAAGCTACTTTTAGTATTCAAACTACTAAATATTTGACCATTTCCTTATGAGTATATGAATAATTTATATAATTCAAAAGCAAGTGTAAAATTGTAGAATGCAACACTTCTTGGCATTTTGGCTAAGATGAAGTGTAGTATATGTTCTCATCAGTAGAATGCAAAAGGTTAAAGTGATAAATAACTATAGAAAATTAAAACATTTTTGTCACAGTATTTACCTTAATGGGACCGATATAGGAAGATCCTTTAATTGTTGCAAGTATGACTTGAGATTCTTCTAACTGAGCTAATATGTCATCTATAGATGAAATTATTAGGATAGAGTAACTTTCTGTGTGATGAAGCACTAAATGTAAAGGAGTGGCATTCCAAAAGTCAATAATCTTAAATAGCATTTTTTCAAGAGCAGCTTCATTACTTGCTGAGGTTGATATATCCCTTATTTCATTTTCATATAGAAACATCTGAAATGAACAAATTATCATTCAATATTAAGTGGAGCAAATAATTCCTGATACTTTAAAATGGAAGATTTAAATGTATGCTTTGAAAGGCACATCAAAAGTATTGAAGATCTGATTTCAGTTAGGTCTACATCCTAACCATAGACTTCATGGCTCAGCCTTCATGAAATAGCCCCTTGCAGTTTTAAATTATCCTATTTCACATCCTTCATTTTCAATGAAAATTTCTAATTTTTGTCTGGTTCTCATCAGAGTAAATAATATATACCTTCTGTATATGTGCAGATGGCATTTCCTTTCTGCAATAATGTGAACTAATTGCTTAATTTGTGACATGTTTTTACTCTTCATAATAATTCTTGGCATATATTCATCTAAGAGAATTAAACTCTAATGGACCAAAATTTCCATGGCTTCCCTTTGTTTGCCTCATATCCTTGGGGATAAGTATATCTCAAAATACATTGGTGGAGTATATATAGGCCTTCTTGCCATGTACACTGACTTAAAATTCTCATGGGACAAAATTTGGACACAAGATCTCCAGATTCACTCATCATAATATTTAGAGAGCTTCTCATGTCCAAATCTTTGAATTAACTAGGTAGGCTTATTGTTTTCATCCCTATTTAGGAATGAGAATCTACTATTATTCCTATATGTCATTTCCATTGGGTTAAAGAATGATGCTTAATCTCTATGTTTTGGTAATGCAGCTCAGTGGGAACAATGAACAGATATGATTAGTTTTTATCATCTTTCTTATGGGCCTGCCAAAGATGGGTATAAGGATGGTGGGATAAGTTGACCACTTGTGGCCTTCAATAACAGATTTGGGAAAGAGGCTTACCTTTTGACATAGATTATTCAGTCAAAGGCAGATAAGGATGCAATAGGACCATGAAAGTTCTACGCTGAAGAAAGAATGTTGTGCCTAATGCTAACGTTCTGAGATTGCCAAAAACTAAATCCAGGTACTAATAATGTGTAAAGCAAACTTTCAGCCAAGTGTATCTAGCCCTGTCAAGTCTTTATGGTCACAGCTTGGGACCTGATTGACAAACAATATTTCCAATTGACCTGGCTAATATCTTGGAGGTTTCAGATGAATCATAATGCCTATAATTAATTATCTACCTTTATTATAAAGCACATGGCTTCTAAAGTGCAAATGATCAACCATAAAATGACAGTGTTCATCATATGCATACCACTGACCCTTCCTATGAACTTACTTTATGACTTGCTTTTCATGTGATAGGCTTTTCAGAGCCTGCACAACATCATGGACAGAATGGTTGTCACATAACTGTAAGCCATGACAATTTATTCATTTGATAGGATCACACATGAACTTCTAATATGACCTATCCTGGAAAGTCTTGAGGCATGATCACCAACTTTGGATCCACACAAAGAAATGCAAGTTTTAGTAAATGAAGGCTGAGTTTCTGGGCCAAATCCTGTGCATCTAAATATCTACATTACAGGCTACCATTGCTAGCTGCTACCCTATACACCTATCTACCCTAACTTTTAATGCTTGCTGCTACACATGGTCTGTCAGGTTCTGACCCTATACCTAACTTGCCCAAGAATGGGTGCAATAACCCAACGCTGAAAATGAAAATGTCATTGAAATTGTGCTAGATTTTTAGCATACTGATTTTAATAAACTGAGTGCCGTGGCGTCAGCCTAGCTCACAGCAACCTCAAACTCCTGGGCTCAAGAGATCCTCTTGCCTCAGCCTCCCGAGTAGCTGGGACTACAGGCATGTGCCACCACACCCGGCTAATTTTTTCTATATATATTTAGTTGTCTAACTAATTTATTTCTATTTATAGTAGAGATGGGGTCTCGCTCTTGCTCAGGCTGGTCTCGAACTCCTGAGCTCAAGGCCGCCTCGGCCTCCCAAAGTTCTAGGATTACAGCCATGAGCCACTGTGCCCAGCCAGCCCTTATGTTCTGACATGATCTAGATCTCTTGCTGAATTTCTCTTTGATATATAGAATAATTGGGAGGCTTTGGTAGTAATCCAGAAAAGGACAAGAGATTTAGATATCATAAGGAATGTAAGAGTAAGGGAAGATGCAAGAATTATTTTATGATTTTTAGTGTAAGCAATTAGAAGAATGGAGCTGCCATTAACTGAGATGGGGAAGACAGAGGAAGAGTAAAATTTGGGAGATGGAGAATGAAAAGTGAATTTTTTTACAAGTTAATTTTGAGATATCTCTTAGACATTAAATAAGAAATTGGAAATGTGAATTTGGAGTTCAGGAGGGAGGCTAAGATTAGGGTTGGCAATATAAAATAATTTTTAAAAATCAATGAAAATTGTCTTTTAAAATTCTTCTTTTTAAATTCTTTAAATTTTTTTCTCATGTTTCTCATTACAACAGATCATTTAGTATAATATTATAGGCATAAAATGCTGGTTTTGATTACATTAGATATTGTCAACCATGATACACTAAACGTAAACAAATCTTATTGTAAGTTAGGCATGAAAATAGAAAACATTTTAACCATAAAAATTGGAAAAATTATATTTTTATAACAACACTTTCATGGCACATCAAATAGCTGTAAATTATGCAATTTAAATGTAATATTGAGTTATTGGTATGACTATTCTGACATGCTCTTAATATATTTTCATTTTATATAAAATGGAATATAGTTTTGGTTTTTCCATTCTTATATATTCTCTATAAGTAGCACTTTTAAATAATGAAATTCTTATTTGCCTACCTAAAATTAGGTAATCCTATAGTATTTCAATCTACTTTTTTCAAACTATTTTTATTTACCTTGAGAGTTAGAAGATTCTCTAGTGTACAATTTTTATCAAGGGAAATTGACTTTCCAACAATCTCCTGGAGAGCCGCCCAGTGCCTTGGCTTAAGACAGGGGTTGCTCAGAGCTATGATGATAGGCAGCTCTTGTTTAAACTCTGTCACCGATTGCTTAAGATGTTTTACCATATCATTTTTAGGTAAACCTATAAATAACAACGGGTCAGTAGGCTTACAACATGCTTATTATATTTTTTAATCAGAAAAAAATTGAGAAAGTAATAATTTTTCTTTAAAATTTGCCAATTAATGTAATACTAGTTTACCCGTTATTAGTCTGCATTAAAATAATATAAAATAATGAGCTTAATTAACATCAACCTACTGTCCCATAAGAATCAACTATGGATTAAAATGCAGAGAAATAGTTATCAGGACTAGGAAGGACAGCCAGATTATCTTGGAAAATTTGATACCAGGGATGACCAGCTACCACAGTATTTCCCAGATTTTCACTAACAAGATAGAAATATAGACAGATGGGTACACAGACACATTCAGAAGACTGTCATAAATTTTAGGCTTTTAAATTTTGCTAAGGAAGACCATCAAGGAGACAAAAATCTATCATTTCATAAAGACAATATTTTAACACCAAAAGGTGGCAAATTTGCCATAAACTAGCATTAGTCAACCTACGGAGTTGAAGTTTCATTCCTTATAACCTTTTTACTCATCTTAGAAAAGAGAATGGAAGAGAGAAATAGCCAAAGTTAGGAGCTCAGGAGAATTGAAAACAAAACCTATACTACCATTAAAACAATTTGTACAGATGGGGCTTCTTTTATAAAGCCATACTAAATAGTAAAATGTTTTTAAAGATCTGGTTAAATAGAAGGTCAAGAGAATAACTTTGGGTTTTGCCAGTTTAGACTTTGGCAAGCAGCAAGATTTTGTCTAGGAAACTATGGATGAAAGAAGGTGTTGTCTACTTGTTATTTTACATATTCTATTGAGAAGCAATGCATACAATGAGTGTTATGTTAAAGCACAAAGACTATGATTTTCCCCTAGTTTTTCTCTTTTCTAAATGTTTTAATATTATTATATTTCTTGTATAATTTTAAAACAAGCAAAATAAACTGTTTTTCTGGCTTTTCTGGAGAATAAATTTTAGCTTGCGGTATAGCTGACTCTTGGCAAAGACATTCTCTTGATCAGGTGAGCAAAACTTTCCTTTAGGAAATGATAAGATCTTGTAAAATGCTCTTACAGGAACAGTATCTCTGGATATGCAAGATTTCAAATTTGATGATTAGCACAAAAGAAACCTCTCAAAATGATATTTTAGCTGTTTCTCCCAGTGCCCAAAGGATATTTACAGGTGTACAGAGGATTTGGGTAAAGATTCTGCAGGGCGGCCTTTAGCATCAAAACATCTCTGACCAGTACCCTAAGAAGAGTCAGAATAAGAGTGAAGTGTTTGGGGTTCTACCCAGGGAACCCACTTTTAAAGAATGTAAAAATTGTTTTTAATAACTTACTGAAAAATTTTTTGCAAAGACTTAATCTCTTTCTTGTTTCAGCAAACAATTTCTGCTTACATTCCTGAATTGTTGGTCCAGCCGTAATAGTCAACCCCAGAGAACAAATAAAGAAACAAAACCAAGTATAATGATCTTGCTGCCCAGAGGCCATATTGTGTTATTCTAGATGGGAAAAGTGAGAAGCACACTTTTACCTTTTTCTAGTACATAGATTATGTGCATCCATTTTGAAACATTTCTCTGTACTGACTCTGTATCAATACTTTGAAGAGAACATTTCCTCCATTGCCAAAAGAGTGTTCTCAAATCCTCTTTTGCTTCCCATAATATTTTCCTCAAAGTTAGGTCATATTCAATGTCAGTGATCTCTGAAAGCACAATCTGTGTAATGTCTTCCATATTAAGAGAATGCATATGAGACTGAGAATCATCAAAATAATTCTGCTGGCTTGAATACATTTTAGCTTTGTTGGCTAAACTTGCAGCTTCCTCTGAGAGAGTCTGGATCATTTCCATTGCTGTTGACACTCGAGTACCAGCATATAAGAGAACAGGAGTTCTTATCTAAAAAATAACAATAAGACAGAAATTAAGTTTTTCTTACTTAGAAGACATTCTAAGAAACCAAAATGTTCACAACTTACTGATAGTTAAAGGCATTTTAGTATATAATCTAAGTGTTAACATGGTAAGTGAGTAGAGATGGAACTATTATTAGCATTTGGCCCAAAGGCCCAGAAAGATTTCACAGTGGGATTTTTTTAGCCCTTTTTGTGACATGAGCCCCTTTGGCAGTGTGCTGAAGTCTACTGTAAAACTCACCAGCTCTGCTGCTGTTTGTTACCTACATTCATTCATAGTTGAAGAAAATGCTAAATTCCAGTTAAAGGCTAGTGAAAATAGACATGTAATTTTCCTTATCATTCAAGTTCACAAATCACCAAAATTCTATTGCTGAATCCCATGTTAAGAATACTAGGGTTAAATTATTTATCCAAGATTCCACAGAAAGCAAATACCCAAATGCTTAGACTTACATGAGGCTAAGATAAACTTTCTAAAAAAAATTAAAAAATAAACTTACTTTGGTTTTTAAATTACTAACATCAACTCGTAGGCCAGTGATACATGCTTCCAAATTATCTCTGAATTTAGTTATAGTAGCATCTTTATTTGTTTTACTTAACTTCATGGATGTTTTTAGTTGACCAAATTTGATTAGAAGGATTTTATGTATGGCCATTTGCTCTTCAGAAATATGGATATTGTAATGCCTTACAACAGAAAATAGCTCAGAAAGTGTTAAGTACTCTTGTTCTAATTTAGATATATTTGAGGAAATTTCATCCAAAAAGGTAAAATGCTTCACAAATTCTTCTATTTCAGTAGGATCACATTCTAGCTGTCGTAATGATGATTCTACAACCTGAAATCATTAACATGTCAGTTACAGTTATTATGAATTTTCACTATTTTAGAAGATTAATTACTCCTTTTAATTTCTTTGACTTACACAAGTATAATTTCATTAAAAAATGAAAACATCACCTAGACGTAATTCTAAGTATTATTTAAATATTGGGACATTAACACGATCAAATACTTCTATTGTTAACAAAAGGCACTTGAATGTATCGGAAATATAAAATAAATGCTACTAAAACATAAAAGAAGTGCTATAATGAATAATGGCTTTCAAAAATAAGTAGCAAAAGTATGACTGAAAAGTGAATAGTGCATTATAATTGCTACCACTTTTTGAGCATTTATGTGCTAGGTTCTTGAGGTATATCACTTTATTCAGATAGTATTTTTGCTAATTAGGTGTTTTTTTTCCTAGTTTGCAAAGGGTGAAACTGAGTCTCAAAAGGGTTCATTGAGTTATAGAACTATGATTCAGACCCTAATCTGATTCCAAATCCCATTCTTTCCCACCCTGCTTGTATCCATTATAAGCATATTGACAATAGCCACAACTTTCATAAGTATATGTATTTCATTCCATAAACTTTCTAAAGTAATTATATTTCTATACTGAAATTACAATTTTTTTCATATTTTTCTTCACGTTTCAAGGATTCTTAATGAGTATTCATGTATAATTTTATATAACTTTAGAATCCAAATCAGTTCAATTCTCAACCTTCACAGCCTTGAATTGATTGTATGTGTCTCTAACTTTTCAAACACTTTAGTCTATTTGATTGTGATAAATGTTCATGCAAAAATTGCAGTACAGAAACCGTTTATAAATGGAAACTCATCTATTATTTCATTACCCAGAGATAATCACTGTTAACCCATCAGAAATTTTACTATGGGGAGTATGTCTTTGTCTTTTGTCATAGAGTTTATATTAACATGAACAGGCCTTAAAATCAGAGAGACTTGTGTTTAAATTCCAGCATTTACTAACTGTGTGAACCTAAGCAATGTAGTCCCAACCCCTTGGTTATGGACTGGTACTAGTCAGCGTGTCCTGTTAGGAATTGGGCCACACACCAGGAAGTGAGTAGTGGGTGAGAGAGCAAAGCTTCATCAGTATTTACAGCTGCTCCCCATGGCTCACATCACTGCCTGAGCTCCACCTCCTGTCAGATCAGCAGTGTCATTAGATTCTGTGTTATGGTAAGTTGTAAATTATTTCATTATATATTATAAAACCATCTGTTTGGTTATTATTACTATAGATTAAATTTGTCTTTGTCAAATTTGATATATATGTAATCATATAATAGGTGTTTCTTTGTGTCTGTCTTCTTTTGCTCAACAGATTTTTACAGATTCATCCAAGTTGTTGCATGTGGCAGTCCATTCCTTTTTTATGGTGGAATATTCCAATGTATGAATATATCATATTTTTTCTTATCTATTGACCTATTGATAGACACTTGGATTGCTTTCAAGTTTTAGCAATTGTGGGTAAAACTTCTATGACTAATTTGTGTGTAAGTCTGTGTGTGGATTTGTTTTCATTTCTCATGAATAAATAATGTGAGATGGGATTGTTATAGCAAATGGTAAGTGAATATTTAACTTTAAAACAATTGCCAATTTTCCAAAGTGATTGTACCATTTTGAATTCTTACCTGCAATATATGCAATTCTAATTCCTCCAAATATTTTCAGCATTTGGTATTTTTAATTTTAGCCATTCCAGTGTATGTGTAGTGGGTTATCATTATAGTTTTAATGTGCATTTCCCTGATGAGTATGGTGTTTAGCATACATTGTATCTTTGTCATCTCCTTTCGTGAAGTGTGTCTGAATATTTTGCCCACTTTTTATTCAGTCATCTGTCTTACTATTTTTTTTATAGTTAATTCAATTAATATTTAAACATGTTTTTTTTTAATTATTTTTTTTATTTTGGTATATTATGGGGGTACAGATTTTAAGGTTTCAATAAATGCCCATTTCCCCCCCTCCCCCCAAAGTCTGAGTCTCATCATGACCTCCCCAGATGGTGCACTCTCACTACTATTATGGTATATACCTGCCTCCCCCCTCCACCTGCCAATACCCTATTACTGTAGCACCTATGTGTCCACTTAGGTGCTACTCAGTTAATACCAGTTTGCTGGAGATATCGTGCTTGTTTTTCCATTCTTGGGATACTTCACTATAGTATGGTTCCAGCTCTAACCAGGAAATATAAGGTGTGCTATATCACCATTGTTTCTTAGAGCTGAATAGTACTCCATGGTGTACATATACCACATTTTATTAATCCATCTTGCATGATGGCACTTGGGCTGTTTCCACAGCCTTGCAATTATGAATTGTGCTGCTATAAACATTCGAGTGCAGGGTCTTTTTGTAGAGTGTCACTGGATCATTTGGTAGATGCCCAGCAATGGGATTGCTGGATCAATGTAGATCACTTGTACGCTTTAAAGGTATCTCCATATTGCTTTCCACAGAGGTTGAACTAGTTTGCAGTCCCACCAGCAGTGTAGGAGTGTTCTTTCTCTCCGCAACCACGCCAGCATTATGTTGGAGATTTTGATAAAGGCCATTCTCACTGGGGTTAAGTGATATTCATTGTGGTTGATTGCATTTCCCTGATGATTAGAGATGTTGAGCATTTCTTCATATGTTTGTTGGCCATTCTTCTGTCTTCTTTAGAAATTTCTGTTCAAGTCTTTGCCCACTTTTAATGGGGTTGTTGATTTTTTCTTCCTAGTTTCGTGAGTCTAAGTATATTCAGTTATCAGTCCTATCGGATGCATAGGATGCAAATTTTCTCCCATCTGGAGGTTGTCTGTTTACTTCATGACTATTTCTTTGGCTTTGCAAAGCTTTTAGTTTGATCATGTCCATTTATTATTTTTGTTGCTGCTGTGATTGCCTTTGGGACTTCTCATAACGTTTGCCCAGGCCGATGTCTAGAGATGTTTCCAACTTTTTCCTCTAGAGTTCTAATAGTTCATATCTTAGTTTAAGTCGTTATCCAGCGTGAGTTGGGTTTTTGTGAGAGGTGAAAGGTGTGGTCCTGTTTTAGCCTCTACAGGTGGTATCCAGTTTTCCAGCACCATTTATTGGAGAGATTCTGTTCCCCCAGGCGTGATTTTTTGTCTGCTTTGTCAAAGATGAGATGGCTATATGAGGATGGTTTTATATCAGGATTCTCACATCTGTTCCACTGGTCTGTCTTACTATTTTTATTGGTGCTTTGGCTTGTAAGAGTTCTTTATATATCCTGGATGCAAGTTCTTTGTTAGATATACATATTCCAACAATTTTTCTCTCTTTAAAGATGTTATTCCATTGTCCTCTTGCTTACATAATTTCTCACCAGAAGTTTGTGGAATTTCTTGATTTTATTTCTTGTTTCTTACTATCTTTTTTTTTTTTTTTTTTTTTTTTTGATTCTCGCTTGTTGCCCGGGCTAGAGTGAGTGCCGTGGCGTCAGCCTAGCTCACGTTAGTACTTGGATGGGAGACCGCCCGGGAATCACGGGTGCCCTAGGCGGCGGCTTTTTTTTTTTTTTTTTTTTTGCCTCTTGCTGCTTAAGATTTTCTCTTTTTAACTGGTTTTCAGTAATTTGATTATGTTTTTGGTGTTGCTTTGTTTTGGGTTTCAATGAGCTTCTCAAATTCATTTGTTTAGTTTTCATCAAATTTGGGATTCTTTTACTATTTTTTTTCAAGACAGGGTCTCACTCTGTTGCCCAGGCTAGAATGCCGTGGTGGCAGCCTAGCTCACAGCAACCTCAAACTCCTAGGCTCAAGCAATCCTACTGCCCCAGCCTCCTGAGTTGCTGGGACTACAGGCATGTACCATCATGCCCAGCTAATTTATATATATATATATATATACTTTTAGTTGTCCAGCTATTCTATTTTTTTAGTAGAAACGGGGTCTCCCCCTTGCCCAGGCTGATCTCGAACTCCTAAGCTCAAACGATCCTCCCACCTCGGCCTCCCAGAGTGCTATGATTACAGGCATGAGCCACCATGCCAGGCAGATTCTTTTACTATTATTTTTCAGATATCTTTTCTGTCCACCCACCTCTCCAATTACATATATTAATATGATAGATCACTTGGTATTATCCTATATAGGTAACTGAGGCTCTGTTTTTGTTTGGTTTCTCAGCCTTTTCCTCTCTGTGCTTCTTTTGTTATAGATTCTATTGCTATTTCTTTAAGTTCAGATCTTTTTCTGGTGTTATCTAATCTGCTATTAATCTCATCAAATAACATTTTCATTTAAGATATAGTTGGAGTTGGCCTTCCATATCCATGGGTTTCACATCTTTGGATTCAACCAACCATAGAATGAAAATATTTTTAAAAATATAATAATAAAAATAAAAAAGAATACAGGATAACAACTAGTTTCATAGTACTTACATTATATTAGGTAGTATAAATAATCTAGAGGTGAATTAAGATATACAAGAGACCCCATCAAGGTTCTTTTGAGGAGGTAATGTTTGATCAAAGACACAAATGCAATACACAATGGAATTTTCTGAGGATATTTATCATGTATATTTTCTAAGTACATATTTAAAAATTATAATTTACTATATCTGAAACATTCTTATGCAATAGGAATTTTGAAATACTTACTTCCAAAAGATTTGCACTCTTTTTTTCAATTAGAGATTGCAAGAGTGTGTGGCTCATATGTATAATATTGTCAACATATGGTAAGCATTCTGACTGATAATCAAGACTAACAACGTTGAAAATACCAATGCGCTTCTCAATGGCCATATTCACAATATGTCTAAAATAGTTTCTGAATCTACTTAGTATAGTTGTAAAATCTGTTGAAGTTAATTCTCCCAGAGATGATATTTTCATACTCATGATTTTGGCCTTCTCTACCATGGCACAATACTTCATAAACTTGCAGCTGTAAACATTAACTAGCCCCATTGAATTACCAATAATAGTCAGGAGACTCACAATCTGTAAATAAAAGTGTTAAAAAAATTAGTCAGAATTTCTTTTAAGAGTGCAAAAAAGTATGGTTTGATATGCTAATAGTTTCCTATGTGGAGTTCATTTTATTAAGAACCTCTATTAAATATCTAAATATGTTGGAAATATAAGACTTTAAGAAGTTTAGATGGTTTTCTAATATTTAAGCCTTTTATGTAAAGGCTTACTAGGCTATCTGACTTTATAATTAGCATGTTCATTTGAGAATACACTAGAAACACCAGTCATTTATGTCCTTACTTATCACCCTTTTAAAAAGTATATATTCTATGCATTTCCCTAGAAAGAGCCAGTCCTATATGTGACATCATCTAAGACAGAGCTAATTTGGATTGAGTAGAATCTTGACCCAAACTAAGCCAATTAGATTCCCTTATAAATTTGGACAAAATGCCCAGTTAGATTAGATGGTAATGGGAGGAGTTGCAGCATGGCAACCCAACATATTGGCAAGCCAATATTATGAGGGAGCCATAAAAGAGAAAGCTCATTTTCACAGAAGTTGGAAAAAACACTCAGAGTGAGCAAGATGAGAAATCACTGGAAAGATAAATGGGGAGATAAGCTGGGAATGGCTTTCCAATTGCTATGAATTAGGATAATCTAATTTTTCAATAAATTCCTTTCATCTAAGAATTTCAATGGGTTTCTGCTCCTTAAACCAAACATTCACTAAAATGAACTGTTTTTAAACTTACTTTATTTTGGTAAGCAGGATCCATTTCAAAAAGGATTTCACAATCTGGCCATCTGGTATGCTTCTTATATTTTATTACACTTTCCATCTTACTAGGTAAATCCACAATTGAAGCCAAATCAATAAACAGTGACAGGCGAGGATCTTGGCAAAAAGGAGTAACTGTGGCTAAAATATATGATTCAAAAGTTAATACTTTCATAAGTCCCGCTGAAAGCAACACTTTAAAGTTATCCTTGACATCTAGAACTATTGAAAACTGAGGCTGATGTAGTATGAAAGTTAGACTGCTACACCTAGAGATAGGTGTAACAATTCAGATTTAATATTATAGAAGCAAAAGTACCACTTTTAGGTAACTGGGTGGAGGTGGTGGGAGTTATAATTAAAATAGAAACTGAGAATGAGATATCTGCTATGCAGAGATTATTATACCATTATGAAGATACAAAGATTAGGAGACATAGCCTCTACTGTCAAGGAGTTCATAGTCTAGTTGGACAACTGCATGTCCATAAGCAAAAAACAAACAAACAAAAACTTTAACCTACACTTCACTTCTTACACAAAAATCAACTCAAGATGAATCATATACCTAAATATAAAACACAAATCTATAAATCTTCCAGGAGAAAATATGTGTGATCCTGAGTTAGAGTGTTTTGATACAAAACCAAAAGCATAATACATAAAAGAAAAAACTTAATAAGCTGTACATCATCAACATTAAGTAGTTCAGCTTTGTGAAGGAGAATGAAAAGACACATATTTAGAGAAAATGTTTATAAATCATATATATTGTAAAGGACTTGTACCCAGAGTATATATAAAGTCTTCTCACAAACCCAACAATAAACAAAACCCCAATTTTAAAAAATAGGCAAAAGCTCTAAAGTGACATTTGATGAAAAAGATGCAGATGGAAAATCAGAATAAGAAAAGATGAACAGTATCATTAGTTACTAGTGAAATGCAAATTACTGCAATGAGATATCACTATACAAGTATTGGAATGGCTAAAAAATTTTTTTAAATTTGACAATACCGAGTGCTGATGAGGAGCAGAGCAACTAGAACTCTTATACATTGCTGGTAGGAATGCAAAATGATACAACCACTTTGCAAAAGAGTTTGGCAATTCTTATAAAGTTAAGCATATACCTACCATGTGACCCAGCAATCTCACCCCTAGATATTTACCCAAGAATAAAAGAAAACTTCTGTCATCCAAAAGCCTATATATGAATGTTTATAGCAATTTTATTCAATTTTATTCATAATTGCCCCAAACTGGAAACAACCCAGATGTAAATGGATAAGCATTCTGTGATATATTCAGACAAGAGAATACAACTCACAAATAAAAAGGGATGGAGTATTGATTCATGCAACAACATAGATGAATTTTAAATGCATTTTTCTAAGTGAAAAGAACGCATACCCAAAAGACTATATTTTCATTTACATGACATTCTGGGAAAAGTACAATAGGGACAGAAAACAGTTCAGTGGTTTCTAGGAATAAGGGGTTTGAGGGGTTTCACTTCAAAGGGGCCACATAAGGGAATCTGGGGATGATGGAACTATTTTGTATGGAACTATGATGGTGGGTATCTAAGTGTGCATTTGTCAAAAAACCCATAACACTGTACTCACAAATAGCGAATTTTAACCATATGTAAATTTAAAAAAATCAATCAGGATGTTGCGAGAACCCAAGAAGAAATGCAGACTCTGACATATCTGTATTATAACTGTATTATAAATGAACTACATAACCTCACTGAAGAGACTTGGAAAGAAGGAAGTTGATCTAAGCAACTTTGGAAAACAATGTTTGGATTTGGAAACTATAAGGTTACATTAAAAAGAAAAAACAAAAAAACTGTACACAGACACTGTACTTTAGTTGACACATTTGTTTTTCATAGAGATATGGCATAGCAATACTGAAATTCTTTCCATGTACAGTCATGTGTCAGCAGAAATTCATTCTGAGAAATGCACTGCTAGGCAATTTCTTTGTTGTTGAACATCATGAAGTGTACTTACACAAACCTAGATAATACATAGCCTACCACACACCTAGGCTATATGGTATAGCCTGTTGTTCCTAGCTACAAACCTATATAGCATGTTTCTGTGCTAAATACTGTAGGCAATTGTAACACAGTAGTATTTGCGTATCTAGCTACAAACCTATACAGCATGTTTCTGTGCTAAATACTGTAGGCAATTGTAACACAGTAGTATTTGCGTATCTACACATAACTAAACATAGAAAAGGTACAGTAAAAATATGGTATTATGATCTCATAGGACCACCATCATATATGCAGTGTGTTGTAGACTGAACCGTCATTATGTGGCAATGGCACAAGACATTAAAACAAATAAGTAACTGTATTATTGATTATATGAGCCATATTTCTTTCAGCCAGAAAAAAGAATAACATATAAGTAAAGGGAGAAGGCTAGAATGAGCCCTGAGGTGTTAGATTGAGTCTGGGGTATCACTATAAACTCATAATTTAAAGCAAAGAAAAAAGAGATACATATGGAAATAAATATAGATATGTATATATGCATGAGCTATATACATACATATATTTTCTAGATCTTTTAGCAATGAGTGCATTCAGTGTCTAAATATTGGTTCTTAAGTTTAATTCTCTAATAAAAGGATCTTCTAAGGTTCCTTAGAAAAATGATTGATTCCAGGGCTGGGGCACATAAAATACAAGAGGGGACTGAAGCATCGTGTGGTGACAGAAACATGAAATGGTCACAAAAAAGGATGAGAGTATGTTAGAAGGGCACAAGAGCCAACTGAAAGGATTTGCTCTCCCAAAACAAAGCCAGAACAATTTGAGCAACAAAATAAGTAACAGTAATATTGTATTATAAAGACTAAATACATATCAATGGACCCAGGAAATTTCTGGGGGAAAAAAGAAGTAAAAAAGGGAGACTGCTAATAGGCGCTACAAAGCTACATAATGATTAAAATAATATAATGCTGATATGTAAGTTATATATATATCATCTGCATAGTCTAGAAATAAAAAATACCAGAAAAAATGATAAATGTGGCATTTCAAATCAGTTGGGATAAGGAATGGATTATTAAATAAATGATGATGGAACAGACAAATCATTACTCATCTGGAAAAAAATTAAAAATGAAGTCCTGCTTCATAACTTATATATGCCAAGTAAATTTCAGTGATCAAATATTTAAATATAAAAATGAAATCATAACATTACAGAATTAGAAAATAAGTGGGAGAATGTTTTTATAATATGATCATTAGGAAGGCCTCTCTGATTATGACACCATATCCTGAAGCATTTTTAAGAAGGCTCTAAAAATGTTATTCCTTAAAAATAATTTTATGCATGGGAAAAAATTATCACCATAAAATCAGGCCAAACAATCTCTGGGAACATTTTTTAAAAATTCATATTAAAGATTAAGTGTTAGTTTTCTTAATCTAAAAAAACTCCTATAAAGCAATAAGAGAAATACTTTTGACCCAACAATTTCACTCTTATGGAATTATTATAAGAGAAGATACAATAAAAGCCACAAGCAATGTGCCAGATGTTAACTGCATCATTGTCTATAGTAATGAATATTTGTGAATAACCAACATGTTTAACATCACATTCATGGTTAAGTATATTATGGTAAATTGATGTAATAGAATATCATACAGCCATATAAATGATAATTATGAGAGCATATGCAGCAATTGGAAAATGTTTCTGGTATAATGTTAAGTGATAATAAAATATTTTAAGCATAAATTTGACTAATGTATAAAAATGAATATAAAATACAAAAGGAAAACAGTTGTTATATAAGGGTAGTTGAAATGATGAGGTGATTTCAATGTTTATTTCTAAGGTAAAGATAGACACACACATACATATATGTACATGTACATATTTATATATGTATGTATACCCAAATACACATATCAGTGAGTCTATATTGATATAAACAAATGACTGAAAAAATAAATAAATGGAGGAGTAACTATTCCTTACAGAAGAATTCTAATTCATAAATGTATAAGGAATGAGAGAAATAGAAAATCACCATTAGAACATCATGTAATAACTGCTCAGGCAAGTTGATGAATGTTAAGATTCATGGGGAAAATCTTATAGGAGAAACGAGATATTTGTATGATCTCAATAATCTCTCCCCCGCAAAAAAATATATTATTAATTACAAGAGGAAGTAGAGTAACTTCATAGTGGAGAAACCTGGCAGACACAAACTTAACCAAGTGGTCATGGTTAGCATAAACAGTAAAAAGATAAATCAATATCATGCACTACCTAGTATAATGCACTGAAAAAGGCAAGCAACCAGTGTGATATTCTTCCCCAAAATTCATAAACTCAAACTCATCATGAGATAACATCAGACAATCCAAAACTGATGGACAGTCTGAAGAGTAACTGATACTTTTCAAACATCTCAAGGTCATGAAAAACAAGGAAAGATTGCATAGATTGGAAAAGTCTTAAGAGACATGGCAACTAAATGCAATGTGTGATCTTGGACTGAATCCTGGAACAGAAAATAGACATTAGTGAAACAACTGGGAAAATCCAAATAAAGCTGTCATTTCCTTAATACTATTGTACTGATATTCATTTCTTAGTTTTAATAACTATGCTATGGTTAGAGAAAGCATGTGAACAGCATGCAGGAACTCTGTACTATGCTTGCAAGTCTTACCTAAGTCTCAGATTATCTCATACTAGACACTTGCTAAAAATCATATGACAGAAACATTTTACAATGAAGAAAAAAGAAATGGAAATGATCAGATGTTCAGACCCAGGAAATCTAAAGATAAAAAAAATCCAAAGGGAAAAAAGGAATATATGGAAAGATTGCTAAAAGACTACTAAAAGACTTAGTCATTCAGACTGAAAAGCCTCACTGAATTTTAAGAAAGATTAGTACAGAATGATACATTATAGCTTTATTGTAGCAAAGTTCCTCACTCTAAATGATAAATTACTGGAGAGAAATAAGTTTACAAAGGAAGGCATCAGACTTCTCATCTGTAATATTAAAAGCTAGAAGGCAGTGGAACAAATCTATGGGCTACTGAGGAAAATAGGTGTGTGTGTGTGTGTGTGTGTGTGTGTGTGTGTGTGTGTGTGTGTGTGTGTGGTCATCCTAAAAAGAGACCACAGCTTTCTACAGTGTCTCTAAGTATATAATGTTGCATGATATTAATATCTCTGCATCTTACTCAGCATGAAATCCCTACCTAGATGATTTAAAATGGACTAGGGCAAGAATTATAAAACCTTTGTGGTATTTCTTACTTTAAAAACAAACCTATATCTTTATGCATGTTTCACCTTAATAATACAATGCAAACTTTAAAACAAATATGAGATTTCAAGGGACATGCTAATTGTATTTCAGCCAGTTTGGGGGAAAGAAGAAACTTAATAGGAGGTGGTAATTAGGAAGCATAGTGGAAAAGATGGAATTCTTGGGGCTTGAAAGAATAAATCTAATAATGCATTAGATACCACCTTAGGCTTGAAAGAGGGCCCTCTAAACTCAGCAAACTGTGGTGACATGACTGAAGAACAATGCAACATTTAAGAGCTGCCAAGGGTCCAAATGTTTTAAGATCTTTGTAAAAGTTATTGTAAGAAAAGTATAAATTCTTTGGTCAAGCTACTACTAAGTTGACTGTAATTTCAGATTATGTAAAATAATTATTTAAAACCTACTTAAGGTGGAAATGATATCTTTGTTATACTATGACATAAAAGATATTGCTCATTTGTTTTAAGTGTCATAAAATTCTATAGTGCATAACTGAAAAAAATCCAAGCCTTAGGCTATTTTCCCAATTCTCATCTGCTATGCACTCTAAGGCTATCTGTGTAATTCATACATCATCAAATAATTCCAAATTCACATTGCTTGATCACAAGGACTATGAATTTATGATCTAGTGATATTCTATAATTCCTGTCACATCCCTGAATAAAAGCATCAGATGTATAAATTTAAGAAAATATTGCCAAAGAAGACAATGCATCTCATTAAGTTTGAAAATACTTACTTATACATTTTTCAATATTAGTCACCATCTTTTGAATTTTTATTGAAAACTCTAATCTGTTGGGATCTATAAAGAGATTTGTAGGAAATTCTGAAAATCTAAGAGAGAAACAATAAAAGCATATTTCAGAAGAATATAGTAACTGACACAAAATATAACTATTTATAATTTTTAAATGTCTTATACTTACTCATCATACATGTATTTACTGTCAAACTCAGTTGCAATTTCTGTGTCTATTAGAATTCATTGAAAGAAAAAGAGAATAAAAAATTGATTGATATTTATATCAGATAAATGACAAGTTGATATATGTCAGTGCTTTCCAAATACCCTAAGAATAAAGAGGTAATTTGAAGGTAGTATTCAAGCAACACACCCCATCTTCACATTCTGGTTAAGGACAGCTGAGAACTGACATCCCAGATCTTGCTCATCTTGATGGCGTGTTCCTCAGGCCCCCCTTAGTAAGAAATCATATGTGTATTCAGATGAAGATGAATGATGGTGTTATTATCTACATGTACTACAAATGATCTGTAAATTCATGCTCTCTTTTAACACTGTTTACCTTAAAGTTTATCAAAATAATAATCTATAAATTGATATTATATAAACTATTAAAATTTTCTCTCATTTGTTATTTTCCAGCTGTTAAGGTATTTCTTTTCATTCTTAATAGTTCTCATTTGTCTTACCTGAAAGAATATCTTCAAGGTTTTGACTAAATTTTTTTGGTTTCTTGGCTTTTGGGAACGATTCTTCACTTGAGTTTTTTTGGACATAGTTGTCTTGATGTTCTGACATTTCATCTTCACATACCACACATTTGTCAGGGCACTGGTCAGGCTCATGAAAGTTCTCTTCAGAATTTTCTGGAGAATCACTCTCAGGAATTCTCAAGCGTAGATTTACTTCAAACACTGGTGCATATATTTTTCTCAAATTCTTCCCCACTTTAATACTATTCAAAACCTAATTTAATAGATATGTTAGGGTGCCAGTGACCATATATAACAGACCGTTTAAGATAATATAGACCTAAATTTTAAATGATAAATCATAACTTTAGTATAACTAAATAACACTGTGCATGATACTTACATATAAAGTAAGTAAATTAAATGTGAAATAAATGACATACCATAATGAAGGAGTTCCCCCACAAAGACTTTGTAAATTGATGCCAGAGTGGCTACATATTAATCACTTAGAGCTTATTAAAAATACAAATTCTTAAGCCTTGTGCCCAGAAATTTTGAATTAAAACATCAGGAGTAGGACTCATAATCATTTAAAAGCTGAACAGGTGATTCTACTGTATATCCAGGTTTAAGAACTACAAATCAAAAATATACCTTAAATCCATGACTACAGGTCCTAGTTCTTCACTTTAGTATATATATATTCCCACAGAGAAAAACCAGGGTATAAATATCTCATTTACACAATATAATCGGTCTTAGGCTCTGTCTAGGCTGGGGTTCTCAATTAATCTATTGATTCCTCATATCCCATAAATAATCTGTTATGCTCTAGGCATCTATTACATAATTATTCGTAACTATTTCTCAGGGTGATCATAGAACCCCAACCTCTAGTTCTAGTCATTAACAAATAAGTGCAGTTAATAGCATAAATAAACCCCATTAGCAGCCTATTAAGCTGCTGCAAAAAAAAGTGTGAGTAGATACTGAAGGTGATTTGCAAGTCTTAAAAGTTCATACAAACATATACAAGTTTCTGTCTGTGATAATGAAAAAGCTGTAGAAAAAGAAAGTAGTGATGGTTGCATAACACTGTGAATATACTTAATGCCACTGAATTGTACACTTAAAATGATTAAAATGGAAAATTTTATGTTTGTATGTTTTATCACAATAAAAGAAATTTCACACAGATAATTTCTTACAAATGTATAGTGTACTGCTTAGCTTATTCTGGAAAATAACTGCTAATTAACTCTGGAATGACTGGACATCAAGCTATATGTACTTTCTCATATTATAGCATAGAAATATTTTACACAGAATCACTCTTTTTTTTTTTTTTTTTTTTTTGAGACAGAGTCTCGCTTTGTTTCCCAGGCTAGAGTGAGTGCCATGGCGTCAGCCTAGCTCATAGCAACCTCAAACTCCTGGGCTCAAGCAATCCTTCTGCCTCAGCCTCCCGAGTAGCTGGGACTACAGGCATGCGCCACTAATGCCCGGCTAATTTTTTCTATATATATTATTTGGCCAATTAATTTCTTTCTATTTTATAGTAGAGACGGGGTCTCGCTGTTGCTCAGGCTGGTTTCGAACTCCTGACCTTGAGCAATCCGCCCGCCTCGGCCTCCCAGAGTGCTAGGATTACAGGCGTGAGCCACCGCGCCCGGCCAGAATCACTCTTTAAGTATAATTATAGTTACTATTTGATGAGTGCTTATCATGTCCTAGGCACTATAGTAAACAAGTTACCTTCACCTCATCCTCATAATAACCCTGGGAGATACAAATTATTACTCACATCATGTAAACAGTGCCCTGTTTTTCAGTGCCCTATTTTGACATTTTTCTGCCCATTTCTTGCTATGAAATACTGACCTTTACCCATCAGGGACTCCCTTGCACAAGTTTCCCCTAGCTAATTATATGCTTGTTTATTAATAGAAATTCTAGAGACTGAGTCTTGAAACAATCCAGACCCCCACCAGGAGATGACCTCACAGCCACAGTTAATCTATAGATAAACAGCCTTCGAGAACAGCAGCCCAGTTCACCAGGAGGAGCAACGATTCACGATAGTCATCAGGACAAGCCATGCTGACCAACAGCTCCTTGTCACTTTCACATGCCCTGCATACCCAATTCCCTTTCTTAACCCCCTACCCTCAGCCTAAGACTGTGAAATGGTTTCTCTGAGGCAAGAGCCTTGGCCATTTCCCCATTGCTAGCTCATTTTCCTTTCACTACACCTCATCCTTGTTATGGGCTTTTGCAAATGGCAAGTAGCTGAGCCTGCACTGGATTATAATTATACATACAAAAAAGCTGAAACTCAGGAAGCTTAATTTGTCAAAGGCTATTTGCTAGCATGTGGTAGGGCTGAAGTTCAGTCGTAAGCCAGTCATTCCAAAAGTCCATCATTATAATATGAACTGGGGCTTAAAAATCTTTTTAGTAAAGAAATCTTTTGGCTGTTATGCTTTTATGTGCCAACAAGAATGAACTAGTAAATAGTTTGATTTCCTCTAGATTATAAACTACGAGACAAAAATAGTCACATCTAAATGAAACCATACATTCTATAGCCTACAATGGGGGTGTGTGTGGAAGAATGAGCAAATGGCGGAGACTAGGCAAGACATTCACAGAGAAAGGGAAAAGGGGATCCTGCCTTATCATATAGGAAGCCTTATTTCAAAGCTACAGAATTAATTTAGTATGGAATTGGTGAATTTGCAGTCACAGGAAAATAGGTCAACAGAACAGAACAGCATTCAGAAACAGAAGCCACACATATATGGAATGATATGATAAGTGATAACGAATTGAGCTGCCACTGCAGATCAGCAGGGGAAGGATGACCTGGCAAATACATTGTGCTGGGGGCAATGGTTACTCATTTAGAAATAAAGCAAAGTAGATCCCCATCATATACCATAGACAAAAATCATTTCCAGATAAATTAAGGGCAAATGTGAAGGGCAAACTTTGAAACTTTTAAAAAAATATAGGATAATATCTTTTTGACCTCAGCATGGGAAATAATTTCAAACATTAACATAAATGAAAGGACTGATCAATTCTATTACATTGAAACTAGGAATTTTTGTTAATCAATATATAAAGAGAATAAAAATAATGTCTAATAGGAGAAGATAACTGCAATATATGTAAAGAATTCATATAATTTGAAAAAACAAAATACTCAATAGAAAAATGGGCAAAAGATGCAGAGAATAAAATGAGTCTCCTGTAACATGAAAAAAGGCTTACCCAAATTAGTAATAAGGGAAATGTAAGTTAAAATCTCAGTAAAATGCCATTTCATACCCATCTGATTGCCAAGGACATTAAATGTTGATTAGGATTGGTAATAATATGGAGCAAAACTAAACTAAACTAAAACTAAAACTAAGCAAAACTAAACTAAAACTAAACTAAACTAAAACTAAACTAAAAACTTATGCATTACTAAAGGTCATTTATATTGGTATAAGTATTTTGGAAAAACACTTTTATGTTATTTGGTACTGTTAATTGTACCTTTTACCCAGAAATTTCACTCCTTTGCAATAAATAAATCAATAAATAGTAACATTTTTTCATATGTATCAAAGGAGATATATACAAGAATGTGCATAGTGGAACTGTATGCAATAGCAGAAAACTGAAAACAACCCAAATGTCTATCAATAGTAGGATGGGCACATAAATTGTTTCATCAAGAAGTGCTAAAGTAGTGGACACTGAAGACTGATAAGCTGGGTAAAGCCTAGATAGGTATTTGCTTATTTTTGCATGTATGATATACTTAATAAAAACTTTATAAATATAATACATGTGTATTGTACAAAGTTTAGACAATATTGAAATGTATACATAAGAAAGTAATAATTTTACCCAAGAGTTTACAACCCACAGATAATCACTGTCAATATTTTGGTGCATATTTCTAGACTTTGAACTATGGAATTGTGTATATTTGTTTTCACTAAAATGTGAACATTTTCCCTTATTACCAAATCTACCTAAAATACTTTAAAAAGGAAAAATATATATAAATACATATTACACAATGCTATCTCATAAAATACGGCTTTTACCAAATAGGACAAGCACTTATGATATAAAATTTAAGTCTCAAGAAAATAATATTGGTGGTGAGGAGGGAAAAACGATTCTTCATAGCAAGAAAAGACTTCCTAATGAAAATTTCTCTAGAATTCTTCCAAGATTTTCATATTTAGCTTTTGTGATTTTTAAGTTAAGAACAAAATCAACAAAAATGCTTGAACAAAAGCAAAGAGTTTGAGTACAGTAGTGGAAGAAATAAGGAGTGGCTGCTACTCTAGATAGGGTGGCCTTCCCTGACCATTCTCATGTAAATAGCATAAAGTATCACTCTGTATTCTCTCTTCATTTTTCTACATAGTACTCATCACTTACTTTATTTATCTGTCTCCCATGATAGAATATAAGCTCAAAGAGGTCAGGGAATTTGTTCTGCAAACTGCTGTATTTCAGTCCCTAGTTCAGTGCCTGGGACATAAAAATTACTCAATAAATATGTGCTTAATGAGTGAACAAATGAACCAAATGAGATATGTGCTATTGTAGCTTTTTACAGTGGGAGTTGGTAAGAGAGAGCACGCACGTGTGTGTGTGTGTGTGTGTGTGTGTGTGTGTGTTGGGCAAGGGATTGTGAATATTGTAAATACCATAAATCACATTTTAAATTTCAAAATATATTCATTTTATATAAAAAATCTGTTTATACTCTTTAAAGAGCATTTTACCTCATCAACATCAGTGTGTGTTTTTACTTCTGATGTTAGAACAGAAATTGCATGCGAGTTTGAATTGTTGACAAGTTCTTCACAATCATTTGTCATCTTTCCAGTAGGAAAAAAGTTGTCCTGGACTGTTCTAGATTGGGAAGGAAAAAAATAACTTTTAAAACATCATATCTCACTAATATTAAAAATATAAAGAACTACAACTCAACAACAAAAAACAATCGAACTAATAAAATAGGCAAAGGACTTGACTAGACATTTCTCCAAAGAATATATACAAATGGACAATAAGTACAAAAAAAAGATACTTAACATCACTAATTATTAGAGAAACGTAAATCAAAATTGCAATGAGATAATGTATTAACTCACACCCATTAAGATAACTATTTTTTTAAAAAATAGGAAAATAGTAAACGTTGATGAGGATTGGAACCCTGGTGCACTGCTGGTGGAAGTTACAACGCTGCGGCTGCTGTGGGAACAGCAGGGCAGCTCCTCAAGATGCATAGAGAACTGCCATGTGATCCAGCAGCTGCATTTCTAGGTATGGACTCAGAAGAACAGAAAGCAGGGACCCAAACAGCATTACTCACAACAGCCAAAAGGTGAAAAAAAACAAATGTCCATCAATAGATGAGTGGATAAACAAAATGTGGTATATTCATGCAGTGGAATATTATTCAGCTTTAAAAAGGAAGGAAATTATGATACATGCTATAACATGGATGAGCCTTGACGACATTATGCTAAGTGAAATCAGTCAGACATAAAAGGACAAATATTGTATGATTCCATTTATATGAGGTACCTAGAATATGTAAATTTATAGAGACAGTATAATACAGGTTGTCATGGCTAGAGGTGGAGAGGGAACTGAGTTTACATTTAATGAGTATAAAGCTTCTGTTTGGGGTGATGAAACGATGGAAAGTAATGGAAATGGATAGTGTTGATGGTTGCACAATACTGTGAATATATTTAATGCCACTGAATTGCACACTTAAAAATGGATAAAATTATAAATTTTATGTTACTATAATTTGCTACTATAAAAATCATGTCTCATTTCAGCAGGATGAGGAACATCAGGAAGTAAAAAAATTTGAGTAGAAAACTAAAGCATTTTATGAAAAGTAATACATACTCACAGGAAAATCACTGAAAAGTTGTGTTGTATTAATATGCAGGTTAAAGTTCTGGTACTGGTTTAAACCAGTAATAAGGCCTTATATAAGTGGTATAAGCTCTGTAGATTCAGTAACAATTAGAGAAACACACTGGATTATCTTTAATATTCTTCAAAATTTTTGAATTAATATATTTTCAGCTCTTAGTTATGATAATGAAACTTGATTTGACTAAAATGATATTGCTAAATTTGGATAGTTGTGACAAATTATAAGGTATTCCACCATTTTAATTAATATTCCATGTTTCACAAGTTAGAGTAGATAGATCCAGTAGTAAAAAATAAGAAAAATACTTTGTTTTAAACAGTAGTATTTAAACATTAATAAAAGGTAAAATATTTTTCAAGTAGTTTCTTAGTTGGAAGAATATTCAATAGATATTTCTTGGAATTGACTCAAATTCCAATTGGACCTTGTAGCTCCTTCTATAATCATTCTTCTATATCTTTAAGAAATAGCTCTGAACTGGGAAGATACAGTATATCTATGCATAAGGTTGTTAGATTTAGCAAATAAAGGACATCCAGTGAAATTTGAATTTCAAATAAATAATAAATAAATTTTAGTATAGATAATACTTGGGACATACTTATACTAAAGAATTATTTGTTGTTTATCTGAAATTCAAATCATACTGGGAATCCTACATTTTATATGTCAACCAGACCAATGCAGAATTTGAAGAAATTTTTCTTAAATTTTATGGACAACATTAAGTAAAGTACTACCAAAGAATAAGTTCAGATAATTGCAAAAATGATTACATAACTCTGCTACAGGGAGAATTTTCAAATTCTAGCTTATGTTACTGGATATTTCCTCCATAAATGGCAATATATTATAAGATTATGATTATAAATTACTTTTATAAGTAAAAAGTGATTTACCTAATGAGACTTTCATTCTTTTTTTCCATTGAAAATGGCATTCTAGCAGAACCAGTAAATAATTCCAAAAGTAGCGTGATTGCAATGTTCATAAGTTGACGAATGAGTTCCTGAAATATGTAGTCAACCAGCATCATAAACCTGAAATTTGTTTCTAATAAACGTCGATATTTAGGGAGCTTGAAATGGGTTGTGTCATCTTCAGAGTGTTTTGACTCAAAATATTCTTTAATTTCTTTCTTTTCTGCAACCTACAATTCAATAAACAATTGAGAAACAAGTGATGATTTCCTATGTTAATGTAGCATGATTTCTACTTTACAGTATTTTTTTCATTTTAAATTTTTAACATTTTTATGGGTACATAATAGTTATATATATTTATAGGGTACATGTGATGTTTTGATACAGGCATACAATGTGTATTAATCAAATCAGAGTAAAAAGGGGTATCCATCACCTCAAGAATTCATCATTTCTTTGTGTTAGGAATATTCCATTAAGATGGCTATTTAAAACAAAAAGCAGAAAATAATAAACGTTGATGAGGATTGGAACCCTGGTGCACTGCTGGTGGAAATTAAAATGATGCGGCTACTGTGGAAAAGAGTACGGCAGTTGCTCGAGATAAACAGAGAATTGCCATATGATCCTGTGACTGCATTTGTAGGTATGTACTCAAAAGAACAGAAAGCAGGGACCTAAACTGCATTATTCACAATAGCCAAAAGGTGAAAATAACCCAAATGTCCATCAATAGATGAGTGGATAAACAAAATGTGGTATATTCATGCAATGGAGTATTATTTACCTTTAAAAAGGAAAAAAATTATGATACATGCTATAACATGGATAAGCCTTGAAGACATTATGCTAAGTGAAATCAGTCAGACATAAAAGGACAAGTACTGTATGATTCCATTTATATGAGGTAAATTTATGGAGACAGAAAGTATAATATAGGTTGTCATGGCTAGAGGTGGAGAGGGTAATGAATTTATACTCAATGAGTATAAAGCTTCTGTTTGGGGTGATGAAAGTTATGGAAATGGATATGTTTTACCATAATGAGCTACTTTACATTCCACATATAAACATAATTACAGGAAAATTTATTTTAATGGTTGACACTTATAAATGTCTTTCTTTTTGTTTAAATGTCTTTCATTTTATTTTATATTATTTTATTTTATTTTTACTTTTATTTTGAGACAGAGTCTCACTTTGTTGCCCAGGCTAGAGTGAGTGCCGTCGCATCAGCCTAGCTCACAGCAACCTCAAACTCCTGGGCTCAAGTGATCCTCCTGCCTCAGCCTCCCGAGTAGCTGGGACTACAGGCATGCACCACCACGCCCGGCTAATTTTTTTCTATATATATTAGTTGGCCAATTAATTTCTTTCTATTTATAGTAGAGACAGGGTCTCGCTCTTGTTCAGGCAGGTTTTGAACTCCTGACCTTGAGCAATCCGCCCGCCTAGGCCTCCCAGAGTACTAGGATTACAGGCATGAGCCACCACACCTGGCCTTTCATTTTATTTTTAATTATTATGGGTACATAAGAGTTATATATCTTTATATGGTGCATGTGATATTTTGATACAGGCATACAATGTGAATTGATCAAATCAGGGTAATTGTCATATTCACCTCAACCATTTATCATTTTTGTGTCTTGGGAACATTTCAATTCCACTCTTTTAGTTATTTTAACATATACCAAAATTTATTGTTGATTATAGTCACTTTGGAAAACTCTTTATAGATATTAGCCTAGGCAAAGAATTTATGAAGAAGACCCCAAAGGCAATCAGAGGAACAATAAAAATAAATAAATGAAACCTGATTAAATTAAAAAGCTTCTGCATAGCCATATTGTCACTGTACTGACAATCAGTACAGTGAATAGACAATCTACAAAATGGGAAACAATATTTGCATGCTATATATCCAATAAAGGGCTAATAACCAGAATCTACAAAGAACTAAAGCAAATCAGCAAGATAACATCAAACAATCCCATTAAAAACTGGGCAAATGACATGAACAGAAGCTTTCAAATGGCCAGTGAGCATATGAACAAATGCTCAACATCTCCAATCATCAGGCAAATGCAATCAAAACCACAATAAGATATGACCTAACTCCAGTGAGAACAGCTTTTATGAAAAAGTCCCAAAACAACATATGCTGGCTTGGATGCGGAGAGAAAGGAACACTTATGCACTGTTGGTGGGACTGCAAACTAGTACAACCTCTATGGAAAGCAGTATGGAGATACCTCAAAGAATTAAAAGTAGAACTGCCATTTGATCTGGCAATCCCTCTACTGGGTATTTATCAAAGGAAAAAAAATTATAAAAAAGACACTTGCACTCTAATGTTTATAGCAGCACAATTCATAATCACAAAGATGTGGAAACAACCCAAGTGCCCATTGATACATGAGTGGATTAATAAAATGTGGTATATGTATACCATGGAGTATTACTCAGCCATAAAAAACGGTGAACTAATGCCTTTTGTAACAACCTGGATGGAACTGGAGACCATCCTTTTAAGTGAAGTATTGCAAGAATGAAAAAACAAAAACCACATTAATTCACTACTAAATTGGGACTGATAGATCAATTTCATGTACATAAAGGGTAGTAAAATTCAATGGAAATCAAGCAGGTAGGAGCAGGGAGGAGGGAATGGGTGAATTCACACCTAATGAGTATAACACACACTATCTTGGTGATGGACGCTTTTATAACTTTGACTTAATCTGTACATAAGCAATTCATGTAACCAAAATGTTTGTGCCCCCATAATATTCTGAAATAAAGAAAAAAGATTAAAAAATATAATTATGTTTTAAGAGAACTGACTTAGGAGGTTGTTGGAGAATGACATGTTTTGGCCAAAAATATAGGATGACATCAATACTACTAGGACCACCAGACACTTCTAAATGATCCTCATAAAAGTAATCCTGAGCTTATTCAAAATAGTTCCTTTTAGGCATGTAAATACTTTTTATTATTATATAATGGGCCTTTAAAATTCTAAAAGTATTTCCAATTTTTGTTTTTTATTGATTTGTTCATGCTTTTAATTTCTTTGCTCCACTGATATCAAATACTTTGTAAGTCATCATTTTCAACTTGTATTCTAATTTTTTTAAAAAAATGTATTTGTTTTTATGTTGCCCTTCTTCATGTTTTATTTTACTCACTTATATTTTCTGTTTTTAAAATTAATTGGGTTAGCTGATTACTAATTTTGCAAATTTTTTGCAGTATTGGCTGTCTCTGAAGGAATGGTTTACCAATGTATGCAGTTCTTTATTGATATAATATTTGCTTGACAAAACTGGACATAAGAAAAAGACAGGATAATCGACATATCAATTAAGAGAGTAGCCACACTAGGCCTGCCAAATAAAATACTAACTTTATTAATAATAAAGTAATAATTTTTTCCTGATAATACCCATGACATCCTCCCTGTCTTAGCTGCCTGAAGGACAAATTTATTTGCCTAAACCTGAATTCAAAGCCCTTTCTAATCACCTGTGCCTACCTTTCCTGGATTCTCTCTCACTAATCACTGATGCAAAACTTTTTTTTTTAATATTTGAGGGGGCTATGTTTTATGCTTTTGTTTTCCCAGGAGCCACTACATGATTTGAAAAACTTGTGTACATAAAATGCATGGATTTTTAAACTAATAAATGATGAAGCCTATTACTATTCAAAATAAATATTTTTAGCATTGATACCAAAGCAACCTTAAATATCTTAATATCTAAATATATTAGTATGAAAGTACACAGTGATAGGTCTGGTAATGGTGATCTTTTTATGACATATTGGTGAGGCTGATGAAGAATCTTTTAATAGGCTAACATATTCTCAGTTATCACAGAGTATACTTTGGGTGAGGCATATCTCAATTCTGATTCTAGGTTTACACCGCTGATGGCGACTCTCAGTTTCCATTTCACAGGTCTATAACTGTGCTGTATTTTTCCACAGCTAGGCAGTCCCAAACATTGCCCAAAAGAATGCTTCTCATCCTGGCTGTATTTTAGATTCACTTGAGAGCTTTTATAGTGCTTCCTGCGCTCTAGCCTCAGAAATTATGATTTAATTGGTCTAGGGTAGATGCCAAACACCAGTATTTATTAAAAGTTTCCCTGGTAACTCTAGTGTGCTGCCTATTTGAGAAGCACTAGTCTAGAGTTTGGCTATGAGTAGTCAGACATTTTAGGACAATTTTGAAAATTCATGAAGATGACACCAGCAAGATGGCTGACTGGAGACACCAGGTATTCATCCCCCTCATCCCCCAAGAAAGGACCAAGGCAACAAACAACTAAGATCTGACTGGACTATCAAAGATAGAGTACTGGAGTGTAGCAGGGGAATGGGATGCATGCACCTATGGTGATTGAAGTCCAGGAGGGCATGTGGAGGCACTGTACCTCTGCAGCCCCATCTTCCCAGCCCAGGAGGGATTTCTGTTATGGGGCAAGGGTGGACAGAAGATCCCTACCAGCCCCCATTGCCACTGCAAATACCTACAGTCCTTACAACAGGAGAATCCCACAGTCTTCCAGTTTGAAGAGTTGTTGGGAATTCATATATCTCCATTGCCCTGGATTAGGAACATAAGATGTGCACTCCCCATACCACCACACCCACGCCTGTGAGTCAAGATGCATAGTGCCATCTTCAGACCAGAGCCACCTCTGGAGTATGCCCTCTCCTGGGGGCCAGTAGCCACTGCACCTATCCATCGTTAACGATATAATTAAAGAATTACCTTTAAAAATGTACTTTGCATCTTGGAAATTGCTTTATCTCTGATATCCTCAAGTTGTTTCAATGCCTGGGTAGCTTGCTGTAACTGCTCTTCATAAAATTCATCTAGAGAATATGTTTGAGAACTATCCAACTAATTAGATGATAGTAAATGTTGAATATTGAAAAATCAAAATTCATATACCAAAAAAAAGACATAAAATATGTGATCATCTTTTCATGCCATAAAGAAGACCATATTTTATAATTTCTTTTTTATATACTTTATACTTTATGCTGTATATGTTCTTCTAATTTAAACACCATAGTTAAATCTAACTAAATTTTAATAAAAAGACATAAATATACATTATTATTTTTAAATAATAACTAAGACTAAGCTGTAGCAGAAAAATTTAAGAATTGAGGTGTTTTTGAAATATCTATGAACCCAGGGAACCTACCAATCCCAGGAACTGCTTTACTTTTGAAGTCACAATTATTTGTAAAACTTAAAAACATAAACATACAATGCAGGTTAATAAGGTTAAGATTAAATAATCCAAATAAGGTAAATTTTATTTGGAATTTATTCAGAATCCAGCAGGGAGAAATCTCCATCAATTATGAATTCTTCTCAGGTAATACAGAAATGTAATATTCCATGCATTTACATATATTCCATCATTCTTCCTCCTTTCAGTATTAGTTTTCCTACACTGTGTTAATTCTCTTGCCAATATACATTTTCATTAATAAATATTCTGGTATCTTTAACTCTAATTATACTATAAAAATTAATAAATGTCTTTTCCAAAACAAAACAAAAAGATTGAAAAGTACTGCTCTTGCCTTAAAATTTTGGATTTACTCTTTGAGTTCCCCCTCTCCTGCTCCCATAGCTGATTAACAAATCCTAATTTTTCCAGTAAAATGTCTCAAAAATATCCCTTGGTCTCACTGCCAACATCCCAATCAAAGTCCTTATTGTTTATACCTGCATTATTCCAGTGTTATAATAATTGATCTCTCCAACCCTAGTATGACCCCACTTCCAATTTTTCCACAGATATCATAATAGTTTTCCTAAAATAGCATGCTTAGAAACTTTCAATAGTTGTTCTTTGAAAGTAGTTCTCAAAATTTATCTGGCATAAGAATCACCTAAGGGATTTGTTAAAAATGTAGATTACCAGCACCACTCACTATTTCCTCCCTTAAAAGGAGTGGGACACAAACATCTACATTTTTATTAAGCACCCAAGATACTGCCCAGTAAATTAAACCACTCTTAAATATGAAACATAATCTGAAGTCTCACCTCTACCTGATTCTGTGAACTTGGATAAGTGATGATCTCTCTAGAACTAAGTTTTATCATTTGAAAGTAAATATTTGGACAAAATGATCCACGTTATGTTCTTTACCTTCTAGTTCTAGAAATTTCAGGACCTTTAAAGGTGTGCTTTCGCGTCCCAGCAGAGTATACTGGTACACTCATTAAAACCATTCATGGCATCAACTTCTGAATGATCCCATCCTTCGCATTCATGACCTTGCTTCATTTTCCTTACCTCTTTATTGTCAGTCTTCACTGGGGTCTGCATCCCCAGGCTATGCATAGCCTTCTAATACTAAGTGTACAACCGGCCACCTTCTGATCTCTGACTCCATCTTTGTTCTCTTGGTTATAAATCTCTGCTTTCCCTCTGTCTGAGACTGGCATGGACAATTTCAGAAACTCCCATTCTTGCAAACTATCCTCATAGTAACCCCCACTAGGAGTGCCCCTGCTCTATGAGCACAGATCCTACTTTTCTCTTATTTTGTTATCCTTGGCCTGACATTCATGACTCAATTTAATTTTCAAATCCAACATATACTGAATGCCTTATACACATCCATAGAAATGGCTTACTAATGGATTAAGAAATTAGTATTCCTTTTATTCAAAACTCTATTTGCTCTCCCTAGTTTCTATAAACCTATATTAGCTTATCACAGTATACTTAAACCAACCTTCACAAGGCATATGGTAGATGTATTATCTTTATGTTCATTATCATTTTTGACAGTAACTGCATCTTCACAAAGTCCTTTTACGTAAATCAAACAGCCTTGAAATAACTCATCAGCCAAAAAAAGAGAGTGGGACAAAAGTGACCTGAAAGTTAAAAAATTTCCATAGATTTTTCTCTCATTCAAACTGAATGAAATTAATTTAGAGGTAACTAGTATGGTTTAGTTTATATCCCTATACTTAAAATGTATCACAGTTACCACATTTTAAATGATAAAGGGGGTTGTATTTGGCTGATAATGTTGTAGGCAAGGTTTTGGGTACTGGGTGTGTTGAGTTAGAACAAAACAGAAGGGGAAAACAAGTGATGATATTATTCTGTTATGCCACAGAATTCTAATAATTCTGAAATATCAGGTAGTGTTAACTAAAAAAATATATTCTTAATTTATTAAATTTACTAAATCTAAATAAATTTCTTCAATTTATTTTTCTCCCAATTACAGAAAAAAATAAATAAACTGGATCAGGGACTATCTGGAGAATGTTTCTTTTTTTCTTTCTTTCTTTCTTTTTTTTTTTTTTTTTTGTGTGTGTAGACAGAGTCTCACTCTGTTGCCCAGGCTAGAGTGCAGTGGTGTCATGATAGCTCATTGCAACCTCAAACTCCTGGCCTTAAGTGATCCTCCCACTTCAGCCACCCAATGTACTGGGATTATAGGCATAGTCAATGCACACCCAACGCAACATTCTTTTTATGAAAACCACTTTATTGAGGTATGATTGACATACAAAAAGCTGCACATATTTATTATATGCAACTTGATGCATTTGGAGATAAGTATACATCTATGAACCATCACAATCTATGCCATAAATATATCTGTCACCTCCAAAAATTTCCTCCCATCCTCTTGATTTACTATTATTATTTGTAATAAGAACATTCTTGAAAAGACAAAATTGTAGGAATGTAGAACAGATTAGTGGTTGCCACAGGTTAAGGAGGGAGTGAGAATGGGAGGGAAGTAGGCATACCTCTAAGAGGCCAACATGAGAGATCCTGTGGTGATAGAAATGTCTGTGTCTTGATTATATAAATGTCAATGTGCAAGTTGTCATAGTAAACTGAAGTTTTGCAAGATGTTACCATCTTGGGGGAAACCAGGTAAAAGGTTCATGAGATCTCTCTATATTATTACTTGAAACTGCATCTCAATTTACAATTATCTCAAAATAAAAAATAAATTAATAAAAACAACAATAAAAGAAAACAACAATAAAAAATACTTGGTTGCTGGAGATCTTACAAAGTAAGAGCTTTACAAAGTAAAATTAATTGTCATCTATTTTGAATAACTTAATCATTCCTCTTCTTGGAAGCAAAAAGTTAGATAAAGTGACCAAGGGAACTCATCAAGGTTTTGCAGAGCACCATGACCATAGAATGGTATGCTGGGAAATACAGTGAGTGATTCCATGCTATATTTTTAAAATATAGCTTCTTTTTGAAATTTTTATAAATATATTACATAACAAGACTTACCTGCTCTTCTCTATCTTCATTCTTTTAACATTCAATTTCCAGGTAACAAATGCTTTATTAATTCTGAAAGGAAAAATACTTCTTATATTCTATATTCATAAATCATATATTTATATGGAATAAATTTAGTAAAAGCTTAGTAATATTAGAACATTCTCTAGAACATGTTTCATTCATCCTGAGCTACCTAAATAGTAAACCATACAAATTTTCTCCCAAACTATCAGCAGAATATAGAACAAAAAACAAATGTAAGTAAAAGTCCATAGAATTCTCATAGATTATCATTCATTTAGCTGGAACATTCTAATAAATATTAAAAACCATAGGCTAGGTGTGGTGGCTCATGCCTGTAACCCTAGCACTCTGGGAGGCCAAGGCAGGAGGATCGTTTGAGCTCAGGAGTTCAAGACCATCCTGAGCAAGAGTGAGATCCTGTCTCTACTAAAAAAAATAGAAATTACCTACCTGGAAACTAAAAAAAAAAAATACATATATATATATATATATATATACACACACACACACACACACATATATATATAAATTAGCCAGGCATGGTGGTGCATGCCTATAGTCCCAGCTACTCGGGAAGCTGAGGCAGGAGGATCACTTGAGCCCAGGAGTTTGAGGCTGCTGTGAGCTAGGCTGATGCCATGGCACTCTAGCCGGGGCAACAGAGTGAGATTCTATCTCAAAAAAAAAAAAAAAAAACCATAAAAATATATTATTTTCGCATATGTTTATTGGTTTACTTTGAAAGAGATTTATATCTCAAGAAGAGTCAAAATTCCATTTTTAGTGATAATGAAAAGCTACATTGTTAAAGAAATCTTTGTGTAGTGGCAAGTAAAAAAGATAATGTATGTTATTTTGATATTATTTAATACTTATGTAAAAAACATGCATTTCTAATTTTAAAAACTCAAAGAACCTGCATGAGAAAGAATTGAAAAGTTTTCCTGGTTATTAGTTATGATTTATCATTTTCATTCATAAAATAGACATGCCAAATATTTCTATAAATCTCCCTCAACTTCTCTGAATGAATATCGTTGCCGATCTTATGCACACGTGGGATTAGTCTATTGCCATATCACTATCCCTCCCTCCGTAGTCTTTGCATCTAGAGGAAACGACCCTTAAATAAAAACTGAGATGTGATATTTCTTTGCGAAAGTGAGATTCCTTATGTAGCTGGTTAGAGCCAGTGGGGAGAGGAAAATCATGGGGATAGGAGCATGTCCGAGAAGCCAACCAAACAGCCAGTCTTAGAGATGACACTGGCTGATTTTGAATCAAGGGAGACTAAGAGGCCTGGAACCATCCAAGCAGTTCAAAGAGAAATCCCATCATGTCCTTCAAATAATCACACCTGAAGTCTTAGAAATTAGAAATGCCTCAAACAAATCTGGTAACTTGAATCAGGCTCCAAAGAGGCATCCCAAATAAGTTCCTATTTCACTTTAATCCAGATCCATAGAGTCATGGTATCTCAGGGTTCTAGAAGAACCCGCATGAATCACAGGGGAACCCAGGCCACAGAAACTAGCACACCAGAAAGTTTCATGAGGTAAAAAGATAATGCTGATGCTCCAGTCATCCCTGCACTGTATACATGGTATTGCCAACTTAAGTTAGCACTTCATCTTTATCCTACTTTTCTACTTGGAATGTTACTTTTTTAATATTAGTGATAAAAACGTGACAAAATATATTAAAAATAAAATGTAAATATCAAGTAAATCTACAAGTTTAAGTCCGACTAAAATTTAATTTATATTTTCTTAACATGAAGAAAGAAAATGAATCATCTTGACTGTGTGAGAGAACAGGGATTGGACTCAGGCCCCTCACCCCTGACCACAGACTTCAATATAACCTGAGTTATTTGCAGAGGGCTTAGACAAATAGTTTTCCAACTGCCGGAATTCAACTCATACCCATATAAGGACAGAGCTACACCATCTGTCTCTTGAATAATGTTTTCCAGGACCACTAAAGAAGATGCTGACACAGGCTGATAAGGAATCCAGCTGCTGAAGAACCCATATAGAACCCATATAGAACCCATCTGGATCTATATGCTTCAAGCCAGAACAGACACCCCCCACCCCAGAACTTACCTTACCCTGACTTTTTCCTCATTATAATATCATTTTAATGCTAAAAATATGCTCAGGGGTGGAGATTTAACATGCTAATGAGACATGTGACACATGAAGAAGCATGTACTAAAACTGCAGAAGTGCGAGGAAATCTCCACCTCTACATGCTCAGAGGGAGCCCTTTTCCTACGTAAGCTTCTTTAAAACTCTCCCGGAATGCCCTTGAGGAGCCAGCTGGAGAACTCAATCTCATTTGCTGTCTCCCTTATGCTCAAGCATAAGCCCCAATAAAGCCTTGTCTGGGGAAATTCTTGACCACGTGTCAATTTCTATTGCATGCGAAACCAAGAACCCATGGTCAGTAATATGTGGACTTACAGATGCCAAATGTCATATAAAAAGATGATCCTTGTCCCAGTTCCAACTGTATTTCAAGTTTAATAAATGAAAATTATTTAGAAAAGAATAGACCCTAAGGATTTAGCACAAAGCAAGGGTAACACTGGAAAGTCTGACTTGACAGAGTTTCAAACAAATAGATATAAAAAATAGTACTGTGGATAATGCCCTAAGCTGATAATCCAGAATCAAACATCTACCAACCTCACTTCTCATTCCTAAATTATAGGGATGAAACTATCACATATCTTTGATGAGAAACATCTCAGAACTGTTACACAGTCACCTGCACTGCATGTGACCTGGGTTCCAGACAATAACAGAACCTGTTTCATTTCCTACCAAACTCTTCAACACTCCAGACACACCATTTCTATTGTCAAATACAACTTGTTCCTGCCTACCAACTTTTGAACTTGCTGTATCCTTTGTCTGCAACTATTCTCTCTCAAAACCCCACATGGCTGTCTCGCTTTTCATCATTTAGGGCTGTACATCAATACCACATCTCTGACCATCTTTCCTAAAGTAGCAATACACACACACACACACACACGCACACACACGCACACACACCCCTCTATCTTATTTCTCTGTTTTATTATCTTTATGGACCTTATCACTATCTGAAATTATCTTATTTATTTACTTATTTATTATCCATCTCCCTCCAATAGAATGTAAGTTCTATAGGAACAGAGACCTTCTATATTTTTTCACAGTTCTATCTCCAGCACTTTCACTAGTGAAACGAAATAGGTACAGAATAAGTACTTGTTTAATAAGTGAACAGCTTTCTCTGCCACAAAATTCATGCAGTTCACTTACAGAAAATTCCTTAGGTCTTTAGTTATTTAAGCTATTTACTATATTAAATATGACAATTTAAAATATTATTTATGTCTTTTCCTAATCCCTAGCAGACAGCAATACACAAGAAAAGGCAAACATAAAAGAGAAACAAGAAAATTATAAAACTAGATACAAACACTAAAAGAACAACAGTCTGGGACTGAGTCTCAGGAACACTGATGTAGTGCTTTATGACGTAATGTAACGTAGCTTAAAACTAGATAAAATTTTGGTTAGGAACTTGAATCAACAAGCTGCCCCTAGCTCCCTTACTCTGTTTTATTTTCCTTTAAAACATATAATCTCTAGGCCAGGCGCGGTGGCTCAAGCCTATAATCCTAGCTCTCTGGGAGGCCGAGGTGGGCGGATTGCTCAAGGTCAAGAGTTCAAAACCAGCCTGAGCAAGAGCGAGACCCCGTCTCTACTATAAATAGAAAGAAATTAATTGGCCAACTGATATGTATATAAAAAATTATCCGGGCATGGTGGCGCATGCCTGTAGTCCCAGCTACTCGGGAGGCTGAGGCAGAAGGATCGCTGGAGCCCAGGAGTGTGAGGTTGCTGTGAGCTAGGCTGATGCCACGGCACTCACTCTAGCCTGGACAACAAACCGAGACTCTGTCTCAAAAAAAAAAAAAACAAAAAAACATATAATCTCTACCTGATATTATAGATTTACATATTTTTTTATTATCTCTCATCTACTACAACAAATTATTTGAGAGCAAGATAATTGTTTGGTTTATTCAATACAGTATCCCCAGCATCTAGAATAATTCCTGGTTCTTAGCAGACTCTCAATAAATGTTCATTTGATGAATAAACAAATGTATGGAAAAAAGGTAAAGTAAGCTCAATACAGTTGACCCTTAGCACGGCTTTGAACTGCACAAATTCACTTATATGCAAATTTTCTCCCACCTCTGCCACCCCTGACAGAAGACTGAAACTGTGCCCAACAGGGTAAAATCATCTGATAACCAGCAAAATTTCTTGAGCTCCACAATAGAAAAGAAAACAGTTTCCTACAAACCCCTTTTCAACAAAACTGACTGACAAGCTGGGACTGGCTGGAACCAAAGTGGCTGACTGGAGTCTAGGTAAAGTAGCCTTGCTTGCCTGATTAGGTGGCCTTTTGACATCAGAGGCTAAAACTCCACCCCCAGATTGTGCCAACACCGACATGTGACATTTTCTGAGCACAAGAGCTGTGAAGAAGCACGTGGGGGCAACAGCACATGTCCAAGGGACTCTCCAGCTCCCCTTTCCTTACAGCAAATCACTCTCCAGCCCTGACTCCATTCTCAAAATCTCTCCCCTCAATCTAGGGCTGCAAGGCCAGTATGGGGAGACAGATTGAAGCCTGACTCCCATCTCCCTGTTTGACTGCCTGGCAATAAAACTTTCTCACTGCAAAAACCCAGTGCTTTGGTGTTGTGCTTTCCATGGCACATGAGCAAATGAACCTAAAGAACAACTCCTCCAACTCCTCCTCCTCAGCCTACTCAACAGGAGCATGGAGGGGATGAAGACCTTTATGATGATCCACTTCCACTTAATGAATAGTAAATTTTCTTAACATTTTCTTTTCTCTAGCTTACTTTATCATAAGAATACAGCATATCATATATACATAACTTAAAAATATGTGTTGACTATTTACATGATTGGTAAGACTTCCAGTCAACAGTTGGTTATTAGCAGTTAAGCTTTTGGGGAGTCAAAAACTTATATTCAGATTCTCCACTGCATGAGTGGTTGGCATCCCTAACCTCCATATTGTTCAAGGATCAATTTGACTATAAAATATTTTTACAATATTTATCCAGAAAGATTAAAATTAAGAGTTTTAATATTTAAATGAGTATGCTTCTTTTATCTAAAAAATTTTTATGGAATACCGCATTTCCCCTATAATTTCCCATAAACATGGCATTACTGTAATAGAACCGAGATGTCACCCAGACACAATTGCTCTTTCAACAGGATCAAACTACAAAAAATTGGTTTCATTTCCTTTCATCTCACCGGAAACTGGAAAATATCTTAAATTGCCGTAATAAATAGTAACATCTTCTTTCTGATAGCCATTCTGAGACAGGTACAAGTTCTACTTCCTCTATACCACCACTTATTTTAATAACCTACAAATGTAAAGGACAAAAACATGATTTTATTTCTTTTAAAAATATGTACTCATAACTTCTTGCCTTCATAATTAAGCTTTTTCTGTATCTGAACCCTCAGCCACTTTACCTACACCCAAATTTGTTTCCCTTAAATATGTTGCATCTCTACTTGCCATTTTCTAATGCTATTTCCTGTGCTCCAACAGAGAGAAGAAAAACTTCTTCCTCACCCTGAGATACTTTTCACAAAAACAGCTGTTCAAATTTTACCTCATAATTTTCACATTTTCTATAAAAGTAACATTTATGAAATTAATTTTAGCCACAGAGATGTAGTAGTCCAAGGTGGTTTATAATCCCACTATCAAGATACCCCATTTTGACATTCAAAAACTGTATGTCCTTAATCAAGGAATTCTCTCTCTTTCCAAGAGTCCCTCTACCCCACCCAAATGTTAACATTTTTTTAAAAAATTTCATCCAGAGATAAAAGTATGTCTATATCAGCACGTCTGTATCTATGTGTATATTTCATATGTATAGAAGTTGTTCCTCCATTCTCATTTGATATTGCATATAGAAACATTTCCATATCTGTATATACAGATATACTTCGTGCAGATCTGGTCCTGCACAGGCATACTTAAGAGTTTTAGTTTATTTAGCTGGGAGGGCAGAGAAGGGCAGACATAAAACAAATGATCAAAACAAATAATCGTATAATTTCAACTTGTGATAAGTATCAAAGTGCTTAAGTGTGATAAGTATATAAGATTATCATAGGGGGATTTCTTCATCTGACAGTGAAGTTTCTGACAAATGCACTAATAAAAAGGATTCTTTTCTTTATTATAATTCCTATTACGCCAGCAACTGCCCATTCTCTAGTTCTTTCTTTAAAAAAATTATACCAAATATTAATAAAATATTTGAGAGGTGAAAATATTTCTTGAAATTGAATCCTCAAACCTAAATTTCTACAAAGAAGAAAAAAATGTCACTATTAAATAACATTCTTTCAAGGAGATTCTTACACCTAAAGTGTTCCTCAAATGAACAGGTATCTCTGAAACACAGATAAATTTATGCAATTAAAATCTAAATTGGATAATATTTTGCTATTATAATTCTGAAAGCTGAAAACATCCATTAAATATTACCTTTGAGATAAAAGAAGCAGTAATAATCCAATATTCTTTGCAATGTCTAGCTGTATGGGCAGAGACTACGTGAAGATCATATGGATTGTAAAGGGCTTTAGGATCATTCCGAGGAAGGCAATATACAAATTCTCCATCATCTTTCAGAGATTCCTGAGGTTAAAAAACATTTAATTAATTTGACTAAATTAACTAATAAAATGGCTAAACAGATTACCTAGTAAATTAAAACAATTTTAATACAGATTAAAAATAAGAATAATAAGAATACTATCACTGAGGAAAGCTAATATCAAATTGTATTAATATTTAATCAAAATTCAACAAATCAATCTTATGAAAGATTAATATATTTAAATATATAACATGATGTGGCAATAAAACATTCAGAAAAATTTACCTATATGCTTACTAATACTTACTAGTAACTCAAAGAACTTGACAACATATCTTTTACATATATGTCACTTTCCAGTAAATTTGTCTACCAACACCAGAAACCTTCTGGGCATATCAAACTTATCATTTATTTTGATAACAATGCTAGTTTAGTATTATAATAACAATAGCTTATATTTGCTAAATAAGAAACACATATTTAATGAGTAATAAGTGTTTCAAATATGATATCTTTATAACCATAAAAGTATAATGTCTTAAATTTAATCTCTTAAATTTAAAGAAACAAAGGTTTGATTTTTTGAATCTCATTAAACAGATGCAGAAATTAATATTTTGGTAAATTAAGTAATTTAAGAAAAGTCAATAATGCAGGAAGTAGCACGGTAGGGATGTGAATCCAAGTGTGACTCCCACGTTCTATGCTATTGCAATAAGCTATAATGCCTCTCCCACATTTACTTGGCATGACTGAGAAATCAGCCATTCCACACTAAGAAAACTTCTAGCGTTAGAAGTTTCTAAACTTTTAACTTTTATTGATGAAAACACTTCTAATATTATATGAAATTTTAGTCTTTTCTAGACAATTAAATTTTATTTCCAAAAAGCATTTGGTGTCTAGTGATGTCCTCAGAAGCTACTTAGTTAACAGTTTCCAATTACTGTAGTTTTAAATTTTGGATCCAGCTTTACAGTTTTTTAAATTTTGACTTCCTTGAAGATTACTTCTTTCTTTACAATTGTTTTAGCTGTTTCACTTTCTTATTTTGGCTTATGATATAATCTATACTAAGAAACCTTCATAAACAAGTTTAAAAACTGCAAATTAAAAGAAATAAGCTGAGTGATGACTTGCACAGCGCATAGACTTTGTTATAGTTAAATGATCACTTGCGTCATTTTGTTCTAAATTACATTTCAAAATGTGCAGTTTCTAGGAAATTTAATGTAGATACAGATATTCTAAATGGATTATAAATATTATTTAAAAATTCAATTATATAAGCATAAGAATAATATATTCCAATTATTTTTTCATTTAACAAGTGTTTTTTCATATTCTCAATCCTTTCTTCACATACAAAGGAAACATACCTTATCTGAGTCCAAGGAACCTATGGACATCTATCTTGTTTTTTTTTAAACTACTATGCCTACTACCTGCCAGGAACAATGGAACATGTTTTATCTCATTTAATCTTCATAATTCTCCAAGAGAACTACCATCATCTCCATTTCAAGGACAAGGAAACTAAAGCTCAGAGAGGTTAGGGACCTGTCCGAGATAATACAGTGAGTGTATATAGATTCAAAACTAGGTGAATCTGATTCCATTATGCACATACTTTCCTTTATATTATGCTGCTTCTGAACAAGGTTCATTAAGACCATTTATCTTCATGGTAATAGTCCAGAGCAAGGATCAGCAAACAATGGTCAGGACCAGGTGCCTGTTTTTGTAAATATAATTTTACTAGAACACAACCTACCCCCTTTTGTTTATGTATTGTCTACCAATGCTTTTGTAGACAGCGTTGAGTAATTGCAACAGAGATCATACAGCCTGCAAAATCTAAAAACTTATCTGGCCTTTTTCAGAAAAAGTTTACTGGTCCCTGAAAGGGAACAATGGTTCTTAGTTGTGCATCATAATTACCTGGAGAGCTTAATAAAATACAGATTTCTGGGCCCTACCCCCAGAGTTTCTGATTCAATGAGTCTAGGGTACAGATGAGAATATATATTTTTAATAAGTTCTAAGATATTCCAATGCCACTTGTCTGGGGACTGAACTTAGAGAATTCCTGATCTAAAAGTAGGAAGAGATGATCCTGTACAATCTTAGATCAGCAATAATAACGGAGGTGTCAAGATACAGACTTTCATTCTTATCACAGCTTCTACCCTCTGGTCATATGATCTTGGATAAGCTAAATTTCTCTGAAGAAAGAGGTTAACGGGTAAGGAGAAAATGGAAAACATAAAGATACACAAAGCAGATGAGACAGAAAATCAGGTACCAGGGAGTAAGAGAGTGAGAAGGACAGAATGTTAACAAATATATTATGATCTCTCTTTAAATCACAAAAACCTGATAAGCAGGAACAAAAAAATAGATTCTAATTTCAGGCAGATGGTACCCCTTACTGGGAACCCACTCAGTTAGAGGAAAGGGTGGGACAGGACAGACAAAAATATTTTGATGTGTTATAGACTTAAAATTTATATACCTTATAATTCTCCATTCCCTAAAAAGTAATATAAAATGATATCAAGTACTTTTGCATTTACCATGAAACAATGATTGTGCTTTGGAATTAATGTAATGTCTGAGTTTGATGTAATATCTGAAATGGATTAAATAAAACTTAAGTCACAATTTCCATATTAATTTTAAAGATCAAAGTTGAATAAAATAGAATAATACCTTTAGAATAGTCTTCTGACTTTCAACTTCACAACTTCTGTATTTCAAACTGTGCTGGGGTAATATAGTTTGCCAACCAAGCTTTTCTCTTAGCCTAATAATATGTCTTATCATATCATCATCTTCTGGTTCTGGTATAGAACATTAAAAAAAAATCCAATATGAGTGCAAATATGGGCATCACTTAAGGATAATGTATAATATTCCAAATAGTTCTACATAGAGACAAAATTTAAATGGTAACTTAAAGTTTACATAAAGGCTATATAATAGGAGAAGAAAATAGAGCTTAAAATTCAGTTTTAACAGAAGCTGAAAAGAGGGAACAGTATTTATCCATTTAAGAAAGAGATCACAAAAAACCTAACTCCATAATTACACAGATAGTAAGCAAGAGAAGAGGCTAGGAACAGGAGCCAGTTATAAGGCTTTTCTTAATAAATGCCTAAGCTGGAGTGGAGGCAGTAGGATCAAAAAGCAGTACTAACAGTGTGGGATGGAAATATTCTTCCTAAGGATACACATCCCATAGACACTTTTCAGACTGTATCTTTCTCGATCTCTCAGCTGGCAGCTAATGATTCTCTCCTTCGTGATACAATCTGTTTTCTTGGCTTTTATTCACCATGCTGTGCAGGTTGGCTCTTAAACTTCTTTTTTGTTAGAACAAATCATGGAAGAAGAGGCATGTAAAAAGCCTCACGGCAAAACCAGCAATCCTAAGAAGTTATATTTCTGGCCTTCTAGGAATTACAAACACCATATGACTAAAACAACTTCTTTCCTAAGGATTAAATGAGACTTCAGCTCTTGAATAAAGCAGTGTTATGACTAGGATGAAGCACTTGCATGACCCTAAGAGTGAGTTCTTCTTTAAATTTTATACCCTAGGTACCTCCACTGTTACCCTAGTCTGAGCTCTTTCAGTTGCTTAAACATGGAAATAAATTAAAAATACTTAATTTAAAAGAAAGCTAGCTAACAATGGGCCTAAAAGGGAAGAGGAGAGGTATAAAAATTAGTATTAAGGAGATGGCACAAACTGTGTATGTTCAGCAAGAGGATAAGTAACATTATAGATCCAGATATAAAAGTGTATACCTAGAGAAGTCAAAGTAGTGTGATGTTGACATAGAAAAACAGATGAGTAGGACAGATTAGAGTCTAGAAATATAACCATGTATAGAGAAAATCTAATAATTAAAAAAGATAATAATTCAAATCAACATAAAATGATTAACTGTCCAATAAATCATAATGGGAAAATAGCCATTTAGAAAAACATGCAGTTATTGTGAGCATAAATTACACATGAATTAGAGATGTTAATGTGGAAAAACAAATTGGTAGAAGTAAATATGGGAGAGTATGTTTATAAACCTGGGGTAGCAAAAACTTCCTGAAAAAGAATCAAAGCATGTTACAAAGAAAACAATGATAAATTTGACTTCCACAAACTTAACAACTTATATGCAAGAAAAGCCACCATGCACAAAGTAAAATGTAATTAACAAATTGAGAGATGTTGATGGCCTATATAAGAGGCTGGAGAGTAATACACTAAATATTTAAATAATTCTTACCAATCAGTAAGAAATAACACTTTGATAGAAAGATGAGCAAACAATTTACAGGAAAAAACAAATGGCCCATAAACATGAAAATGTCTTCAACTTCATTAGTAATCAGGGAATTGCAAATTAAAACAACAATGGAAAAGCATTTCTCACTCAGACTGGCGAAAAATTAAAACTGCGAAAATATGAAATGTGAGCACAGGCATTTCTCTTGTGCAATATGTAAAAGTATAAATTAGCACATCCATTTTTGAAGGCAATTTCACAGATTTAATAGATTTGATAAAGACTGCTGGAAATGGAAGCAATTTAGGGAAAATAAAACAAAGAACATTTTTTCAGAATAAGTATTAGGTTGGTGCAAAAGTAGTTGCGGTATTGTCATTGTTGGAATATGCCATTTGTTATTGGAATACATTCTTAAATAAATGTGGTTATATTATACATCATTTTAATGTGCATTTCTCACTTTATGTTTTTTTGCTAATGATTTATTACTTGCTGTTTATTTTATATTTATTTTAGACTATGGAAATGATGTTAGACAAAAAGCAAATGTGAACGATTTTCTTATTCAACTTTAAAATGGGTCATAGAGCAGCAGAGATAAATCCCAATATCAATGATGCATCTGGCCCAGGAACTGCTAACGAATGTACAGTGCAGTGGTGGTTCAAGAAGTTTTGCAAAGGAGATGAAAGCTTTGAAGATGAGGAGTGCAGTGGCTGGCCATGGGAAGTTGACAACGACCAATTAAGACCAACCATTGAAGCTGATCCTTTTACAACTACACGAGAAGTTGCCCAAGAACTCAATGACGACAAATCTAAGGTCATTCAGCGTTTGAAGCAAATTGGAAAAGTGAAAAAAGCTCAATAAGCAGATGCCTCATGAGCTAACTGAAAATTTAAAAAAATGTCATTTTGAAGTGTCATCTTCTCTTATCATATGCAACAACAATGAACCTGTGCAACGAAATGTGGATCAACTCAGTGGTTGGACCAAGAAGAAACTCCATAGCACTTCCCACAGCCAAATTTGCACCAAAAAATAGGTCATGGTCACTGTTTGGTGGTCTGGCACCAGTCTGATCCAGAAACAGCTTTCTGAATCCTGGTGAAACCATTACAACTGAGAAGTATGCTCAGCAAATCGATGGGATGCACCCAAAACTGCAATGCCTGCAGCTGGCATTGGTCAACAGAAAAGGCCCAATTCTTCTCTATGACAATGCTCAACCGCACAAAGCACAACCAACACTTCACTTCAAAAGTTGAACAAATTGGGCTACAAAGTTTTGCCTCATCCCCTGACCTCTTGCCATTTCCCCTGACCTCTTGCCAACTGACTCCCACTTCTTCAAGCATCTTGACAACTTTTCGCAAGGAAATGTTTTCACAATCAGCAGGACGCAAAAAATGCTTTCCAAGGGTTCGTTGAATCCTGAAGCTCAGATTTTTATAGAATAAACAGGAATAAACAAACGTATTTCTCATTGGCAAAAATGTGTTGATTATAATGGTTCCTATTTTGATTAATAAAGATGTGTTTGAACCTGGTTATAATGATTTACGGTCCAAAATCACAATTACTTTTGCACCAAGCTAAATAGCAAATTTAAGGAACACATATTTCCCAAAAAGCTGGAAAAATATGTTTTTCTAAAAAGGAGTTAGATTAATTAATGACAGAATCATGAATGTTTACTAAAAACAAATGATATATTATGTACTTAATATTGGAGGGTGATACATTTTTCTAGTGTATTCTTTACGTAAGAAATATGGGGAGACTGGTGCACATCCCACCTTCACATTGAGCTAAGAAAACAAATATCAAGGGCAAGGGCAAAAAATCAGAAAGTTCAAGTGGCAGCCTTCCAAAGGAAAACCATAAAAAAGAATAGGGAGCAGAATGAAGACTGAATTTATTTTATCTATTTAAACACAACAGAATATCTTCTTATATCTATAATAAAACCTCATCAGTGAATATTGAGGCTAAGCTTCCGTATTCCTCACTTTATAATCTCATAGCCTTGAAGAAGCAATACTACAGGATAGAATTTTCAGCAGGAGCAAGTAACATAATGAAGACAGTATTTAAAGAAGAATTCTGACAACTAAGGGTAAAACTACCTATCCACTTCCTAAGGATAAAAATAAATACTTTCCTTAAACAACTTAAAACAGGATTTCTGCTGATTGGGAGTTTATAATAAATATAACTGAAGATATTATCTTATCATGTGAATATGTCTTCATAATGAAAGACAATATGTGAAAACTGTCAAATGAGTAATACCACTAGTAAGTGCTGTGTTAATTTTAAAGAAAGAGATCTTAAATAATATAAGGCTTTAGAGGGGTGAAAAGAGAAAAGAGGGCAAATTAGACAAAAAAACCATCAAATAGAAAAAGTAAAAGTTAATTCCAAATGCATGCATCAACATGAATGAATCTGAAAAGGACAGTGGTTTGCAAAAGGATAAAGTGACAGTGTGCATATATATTAAACTTTTATTGAAGCATAAATATACATATGGAGCAACTAAGGTATTCACATAGTTTAATGAGTTTTCAAAATGTAACATACTCCTGCAATCAGCACATGAATCAAGGGAAAAAAAGCAATCTTAGCACTCCTGTAGTCTACCTCGAAACCCCTTCCAGTTCCCACTTTACCTCATTCCCACAGGGTGATCACTGTACGGATTTCTAAGATCAGAGCTGAGTTTTGTCTAGTTTTTACTTTATATAAGTGGAATCACAGTATGTATTCTGTATCTGGCTTCTTTTGGTTTATATTGTATGTGAGCTTCTGTAAACTTAGGACTCCATGGGGCTGGTTAAGCATCCTCAGGAGGTAATGGCTAGCTTACCTGAGAAAGAGTCATCCAGGAAGGAAGGCAAGAGAAAAAGCTGCTATACTTGTTATGAGTTGGTTTTAGAAGTCACACACTGTCACTTTCACCATATTCTGTTTGTTAGAATTGAGTGCCAGCACCTTCAGCATATTGCTTGTTAGAACTGGGTCATTAAGTCTGGCTCTTACCTCCACATTTTGAAGGAAGGAGTGTCAAAGAATTTGTGGACAAATTTTAAAACTACCACAATGGATAAATATAAATATAAAAAAAGTATAAAACCATAATGGGAACAGATAGTCACCAATTTTAGGATAGTTCTTAGCTGACCCTAACTGTAACCTCTAGGAAAGAGCACAGGGAGAGGGAGAGGTGGGGAGTGGCTTTAACTGTTCTGTAACTTTAGAGTTCAGTATGTGTGTTCTATTGCTGCGTAACAAACTACCATACACCTGGTGGTGTAGAACACCATAAATTTATTATCTCACTATTTCCATAGGTTGGGAGTCTGGCAACTTTTAGCTAGGTCCTCTGTTCAGGGTCTTACAGGACTGAAATCAAGATCAGCTGACTATGCCCTTATCTGGAGACTGGGCTAGGGAAAGACTTGCCTCTAAGCACTCTCAGGTTTTGGGCAGAATTCATTTCCTTGTGGCTGTATGACTGAGGTCGCCATTTTCTTGCCAACTGTTGGCCAGGTACTGTTCTCAGATAGTTTTAGGCCACTTTTGGGTCCTTGCCATGTGGCCCTATCCATGACATGGCAGTGGGAAGGCCTCTGCTACTGCTTCTGATCTTTTAAAGCGCTTATCTGATTACGTCAGGCTTGCCCAGAATAATCTCCCTTTTGATTAACTCAACTTTTTTTGATTTTTTTTTATATTAACTCAACTGATTAGGAGCCTTAAATACGTTTGGAAAAGTATTTTTGCCATATAACATAACATAAAAGCTGGGAATGATATTTCATCATATTCACATGTTCTGTCTTCACTTAAAGGGGAAGGAATCAGATGGCAGGAATACTGTAGGACATCTTAGAATTCTGCCTACTACAACTTCCTTTTTAAAAAATTACAAATTATTAACATTAGTGAGTATATGATTTTTTTTTTTTTTAATTTAGAGACAGGATCTCACTCTGGTGCCCAGTCTGGAGTGCAATGGCACAATCATGGCTCACTTTAACCTTGAATTCCTGGGCTCCAGTGATCCTCCCACCTTGGCGCCCCAAAGTGCTGGGATTACAGGTGTGAGCCGCTGCTTCCAGCCTATTTTGTTTACTTTTTATATCTGAAATATTTCTTCATTTTTTCAGAATAAAAAAAAATCCTATGTACTGAGGTCTTTATCAGTCTATGTATTCATCGATTTATAGAAGCTAAATGAAGGAAGAGAATAAAAAAATATAATCCTTAAAGAATTAGAATTGTATTGATCTGGCAGTCATTAAACCTAAATTGTTGGCCTTTCTTACACTAGATGTCAATTTCAAAACACTAAAGAACAATGTGCCAAAATACTAAGAATTCTTAATGCTTAGCAACATTAGCCATTGAAATAAAAGCTATTATATTAGTTTCCTGGATGGATAACAAACTACTACAAATTTTGGGCTTGAAACAACACACATTTATTATCTCACAGTTTCTGTGGGTCAGGAGTCTTGATACAGCTTAACTGGATCCTCTGCATCAAGTCTCAAAGGCAGCAAACAAGGCTGGGGCTGGATTCTCATTTGGAGGCTCTACTGGGAAAGATCTGCTTCCACGCTCCCTCAGGTTGTTAGCATAATTCATTTCCTGCGGCTGTAGGAGTCATAGCAGCTTGCTTCTTCAAAGCCAGCAAAGGGGAGAGAGAGATTCTAGAACAAATCTGGTAGCAAGATGGAATCTTCTACAACATAATTGCGGCAGTGACAACCCATCACCTTTGCCATATTCTATTGGTTGGAAGCAGTCACAGGTTCCCCATACTGAAGGGGAGGAGGTTATACAAGGGTATGAACACCACCACATCTATGCAGGTTTTGTGCTCTCTGGGGCATTTATAATTTTGAGGATATTTCTCTTTAAAAGGGAAGAAGCCCATGTGATTGAGGGGGCCCTAAAGCTTTAGCTTCAATAGGTTTATGATATTAATAAATCTACCTCTGGACCACAGTATTTCAGTGAAATTAGAAAAGTTTCCTTTTTCCTACAAAACTTAAAATATTAATCAAATATAAATTTCAAGTATAGAGAGAGTACAAACAAGAAATGTCAGTGGAGGAAAATCTGTTTAAATGAACTGTTTATTTGAGTACTTAAACTCTATATAAGACAAAGACATAAAATTGTTAAATAGAATGATCCCATGGAGTTTTACTATAAGTTTATCTTATTTATAGTTCTAAAACCATACCTTTAAAGATTGTTCTTAATTAAGAACATAGTTATTGAATAGTTTCTGTCAATTTTTTATTTTCTTTAACTTTTTAAAAATTTTAAATCATTTTATTACATCTAACTTCTAAATAGTCAAAGAACATTAACTTGGAGTTGTTTTTGTTTCATGTCTGTTCATTTATCCATGAATATATAGCTAAAGATTTATACTCCAAAGCTAAGATTTTTAGAAAGTTGTCAATTTTTTAATCTAATGACATTTTAGATTGTCAAAAAAGAACTAAAAATTTTTAACAATTCTTTAAGCACCCAAACACATAAAATTCAGTAAGACTATTTTTTCTAAAATTAGTGTCCAACATAAGCACACAAACCACAGAATAATTTGAAAAAGTATAATGTTTTCTAAACAAGCTGGGTCAGTGATACCACATACCTGTTTTATCGTATGACACAATCCTGGCTTTCTTAACTTTTGGACGATGATCACTGTGACTCTTTTTTACTTTTGATGTCCCTTTTTCCTTCTGTGAAGCTGGTTCTAGAGCAACTACATGTTGTTGAGATATACTTTCTTTAAAGTAATCTGAAAATAAAACCATTATTAACCTAATAACTAGCATGAGCTATACATAATACCACAGTAATTCCACATACCAAGCAATAAAGATGAGGCAATATAACATAGTAGTTAAGAGCACAGTCTCTGCATCCAATCACCTGGGTTCCAAGCTTAGATATGAGGATTGCCCAGGAATCCTTTTAGAAGACAAAATCTTGGCATGTTTTGGGTCCTTAGGAAAGCTGTCGTCTCTCTTTCCATTATAACACTAAGACTAACTCAAACTCCAGGCAGTTATTTTATGTTTTTGAGTTGTACTAGAACATATTTTTTAGCACAGAGATTGCTTTAAGGCTACAAAAACTTTACAAGTTGGTCCCATTAAACAATGACCTCGAGGCAGGAGTTTTTCAAACGGCATGAATCAAACACTTGCACATTTCAACAGAATACAGTTTACATTCATCTCTAAGTCTGAGATTAAGAAACTATTAGCTGGTTTCCAACTGGTTTCAATACTGGTTTGAAGTTTGAATAATTTCACTGTGTAGACATAAATATTTTGTTTAAATATTAAACATTAAATCTTTTCCTGACTATCCAGACAGAAATAGAGAAAGCAGGAACAACAGGCAAGAGAAGAAACAGTCCAATTAACAGACCTGTGATTTCTACGCCATCTGTAACAAGGAGAGGGATTTCAGTATGGGTTTCCAAAATGCATGGAAGCTGGTTTCTAAAAATTCACCTCTACTTAGCATAAACCATGTTTTTCTACAAAAGGTATCTGATTCCTACTAAGAGAGAAGAAACACAGAAAACAAAACAAAAAGAACTGGGGTGGTCTCCTGTTATGTGATGGAAGGGCCAGTATTACACTATTACACTCATTTAATAACTTATAGTGAATATTCTGTACCAATAAAGGAACTGTCATTTTACTTTGCACTATGAGTCCTTGCTGCACAGAAGAGCTCTTCCTGAGAAATTAAAAATATTAAATCCTGGTTATCCCTAACGGACACCTTGAGCTTGGTTTAGGTACTCAAGATGATCTCCTGCTAGCAGGAATCTATTCTCCACTAGCTTTTAGGCTTACTGCACAATAATATAAGCACCAGACAAATTGGCTAGTTCAGTAAACCTGAATGTCACTTGCCCATGTATTCTCGGTTAATTATTCATCGTTTTCTAAATTAACATTAAAAAACTCAACTCGCTAATACAACTTTTTTTTTTAAACTACAGAAGTTATCGATGCTGGGTTTAGCAGACAAAGCACTTCCTTAGGATTAACTAAAGGATGCTTCTCCCATAGGCAATTTGCAGATGGGTTACCTCAATCTTTTTAACTATCAAAGTTAATTAAGTTGTAAACATTACTGAATAACTGGGCTTATCAATTATGCAAAGGAAACCAAGGAACAACAGCAGCACAAGGCAAAGCCTTAAAGGAACAACCTTTTCTTTGTATTTTCATTGCATTTTCAGAGGCAAAAAGGAGAGCTACAATGCTACTGGCTATTTAATAAACATAGCTATAAAGAACTGACAACAAATTTATAAATGTCAAGGCCTCTGTTAAACTTCTTAGCAATAAGTTTAAGCTACTGCTTTCTTTTATCTTTCTCCTCAATCATATATAGTCACCATTGCTTATACCTACAGACTAATGTGTGACTTAATTGTCAAGGTACTTGTAGGAGCACCCTTCGTTCTTAACATCTTCTTCAACTCGAGAATATTATGCAAGTGTCTGAATAGTTTAGACAATAGTGACAGATAGCTTCAGTTACTCTTACACACACGGCTTTTATACTTGGCCTTTGAAGAAACTGTCATCCACCATTCCTTTAAAAAGCCTCATAGAAAACTGCTTTTCCCTTGAGACAAACTTCCTTGGCAAAAAGTTGAATTCAATAAATGGCTACCCAAAATGAGAGTCCCACCCCAAATCACAGGTGGAGATATTATTACACCCGTTTCATAAAACTTTCAAGTCCCCATACTATCCAAGTAGGCCCATGACTGAACACAGGAGTCTTCTAAAATTTGACAACTTTAGTGTAGAAACTGGTTTCTAGAGTTCCATCTCTTCTTCTGTGTTAGCAGCTGTCTCCAAACTATTGTAAAGAGGCATCCCTGTTTGCCGAGGTTCTAAGAACAATTCAGTTCTCTGAGGGAAGGCAGTGCCAGCAGCTCCATGCTTAGTTTGGCTCTCTCCTGTGTAGTTCTTAGCATTAGATGATGGCTTTGGCTTATCAGAAAGGAGTTCAGGGAGAGGTTTCCAGAGCACAAGCTCCATGGAAGGACGGCTCATGGACTCAATCATTTTCTTCGTAAAGACTTCATCAAATTCCCTCTTCAAACCAGTTTTCATGGTATCAGAAAGGACAAGACTGGGGAGATGATTAACATTTCTGTCAGCTTCAACTTCTTCATCTTCGTCAATTATCCTGTCCTCAATCTCCTGAAGCCTCCTTCGGGCAACTTCACACTGTGGTTCTCCAGTCGTCTGCTCCATTTCTTCACAAATAACATCTAACATGCCAGGTACAGAAAGGCCACCAGTGCACGGATTTACTCCATGACCCTCCACACCCTGATGTGCACGAAGAATCCAGTCATTAGGACCAGCACAGAGCTCTGCTTCAATTAGCCTTTTCTTTCTTACAGGACAATCATCATCTTCCTCCTCTCGCTTGTGTTTCTTTTTACAGCGAACGGAGACCCGTCCGGGCGGCGCTCCAGCGGGGCCAGCTCGGCGCCGTCCGTCCCCAGTGGGAAGGCCCGGCCGGGGAAGGCCGGCGGCGACTGCAGGAAGTCGGAGCTGCCGCTTAGGGGGAGGCCGCTCAAGGGCCGGCCGAGTGCGGCATGGCCGGCCAGACGAGGAGGCCACGATCGCGACCCGGCCGCCCGCGTCCCCAGGTCCGGCAGCTGCGGCCACGGCCACAGCCGAGAGGCGCCCGCCTCCGAGCCCCGTGCCCTATATTCTTGAGGTCAGTAAATTCAATGGACATTTTCTAGTCCTCATTTTACTTGACTTATCAGTGTTATTTGATACTTTAGACCACTCCTTCCTTTTTAATAAAATCACTTCCTTTGACTCTATGACACCACACACTCATTCTTTCTCGCCATCCTAGTCAGCCTAACTCTAATCAATTCCATTTGTCCTTTACAGCCATCCTCCTGTTTCTGGCTTGTCATTTCTATAGCTCCTTGGCCTTGTTTTAGTCTCACTATATTTATACACTCTCCCTAGGCAATCTTATTCATAGCCATGGCTTAAACTTCTACTCACATAATTACTCCCAAATTGCTCCCAGTCTCAGCCCTGACTTCTCTGAGCTCCTACACATATATTCACCTCCCTCCACTTGGATGTACCAAAGGTACTCCAAATTCAACATGTCCAAAATTGAACTCATGATCCCTCCTCCAGACCTCACAAATCCTAACCTTTTTTTAAGGACTTCCTATCTTCATGAATGGCATGACTATTCATTATATTAAACAAGCCAGAAGACTAGATATCATCTCTGACACCTTTTTCTCACTCACCAACCCATTATCATAACTGATAATGCTACCTTCAGAATATCTAAAGCTTCCTAACCGGTCTCCTTATATCAATTATTGTTCCCCTCCAACCTATTCTTCAACCTACAGCCAGAGTGATCTTTTCAAAACAGAAATCTGATCACATTAATTCCTTGCTTAAAACCTTTCCATGGCTTCTATCTTCAAAGCATAATGACAAAAATCTTAACATGACCAACAAGTCGTTGCTTTGTCTGACCCTTTTATTTCTATCCAGCCTTATATTTCTATCCTCTCTTTCCTGAGAAAAACAACAGAAGGGTCAGAGTACTCTTGTTTTTCACTCTGTTGGAAAGGAAGCTTTGTCACTTAGCTAAGTTAAGATCCAGGTATTCCTTCTGTTTTAATCTGTCTGTTTAAAACATTCTGGCCCAACGAAGGCCAGAAGATCTGGAGCTCAGGCCTCTTTAGGAAATCAAACATACCCATCTTTAGGCAGAGGATAAAGACAACTGCAGGTATATACCTAAATAATATTTGCAGTATGTACTTAATAGATAATATAGGAGGAAATACAATCGTGCATTACTTAATGACAGGAATACATTCTGAGAAATACATCATTAAGCGATGTCATTATGAGAACATCATAGAGTGTACTTATACAAACCTAGATGGTATAGTCTACTACACACATGGGCCATATGGCATGGCCTATTGTTCCTACGTTACCTACCTGTACAGCATGTTAATGTACTGACCAAAACATCATTATGCAGCATATAACTATATATTGTTATTAAATGAAATGAAATGAAGTATCTAGTCCAGAGAGAAGAGGAAACACTAATTTTGGCAGACTCTAAAATATCTGAGAAACAACAACATTTAAAGGGTAGACAGAGATGTAAAAATCCATTAGAAAGACTGAAAATGAGCAGATATTAATAGAACAGTAGAAAGCAAGCCAGGTGAATAGTTTTCCTCAAAAGTCAAGGGAAAAGGAGGAAAATAAGTGGTCAGGAAAAAAAGTTGCAGAATAGTGCAGTAACATAAAAATTATTTTATTTATAAAGTACTTATTTTTATAAATATTTAGCCATGGGGAGGTATCTGGTGACTTTGGAAGAGGTCACTGGAGACCCCTTCACAAGAGACCTGGACCTAGGCAGAATCCAGGTTGAGGAGTGAATTAGAAGTAAGCAAGTGGAGGTAGGAAGTCTGGGCTACTCTTTCAAGAAGAAGCCTGATCATACTCATATTGTGGTAACTGTGAGAAGGGAACATGAGGCTAAAGATGTTTCTGGGTTGTTTTGTTTATTTTAAGATGGTTAAGCATGTAGCATGTTTGCATGCTGACGGAAAAGAGCCAGTAGAAAGGATATGAGAGAAGATAATTAATAGATCTCAAGTTCCATTATGGACACGGGAGAAGTGGAGCTTCAGTATGGGGTGGTGGTATTCACCTTGAAGGAAAGGAAGCACAGTTATTCCCTGAGACAAGTACTACAGATGGAGCTGGAAACATAAAAGTGAGGATATGAAAGAGCTGTATAAAAATGAAAGCTGTGGTTAAAAAAAAAATTAGAATACTGGAAATGGTAAAATTTGGGCAAGGGAGAAGGAAAGAAGACTAAAAAAATGAAGGTATGTGGAGTTATGTAATCAGGACACTAGTAGATAAGAGCAATAGCCAGAAGGCTGTGGGGACTTAGAATTTTAACCTATCTTTGAGGAAAGAAAGAGAAAGGGAAAGGAAGGGAAGAGAAAGGAAGAGAAAAAAGAAAAGAAAAAGGAGAGAGAGAGGGAAAGGAGAGGAAGAAAGAAAAGAAAGAAATGACACGCGTGAAAGAGTAACTGTAAATTGCTATGGAAATGATAGATATTCTGACATTTCAGTGGTGTTAGTGATACTCCTTTTATTTTTATATTATTGACAGTATTTAGTTTATGTTCCCTTTAAAAAGCTTTGTATTTGAAGACATTGCTAATTGCTGTGACTAATAAACTTAGTAAAATACCAAACCTTATATTTTGAAAGTACACTCTAGTATACTTGTTTTCTTAATTTAATGCTATGAAAAACTTTCCATCTCTATAAAAGAAAACACAAATCAACATGCCTGGATAATCATCTTGATGAATTTTTTCTGTTTTCTCTGACTTCAAGGGTTCAGAGAATGTTCCAACTGTTTCACATTTCATTGTTTCCTTTTCTGCTGTTTTAGCTAGTTGGTTCCATGATGGCTTGACATCTTTGTATTTTTGCTCTTCATATTTTAAAAGTCTAATATGACAAAGAAAACAATTCTAAGGGAATAAATAATGACGCCAATAAAATATTGAGCTGTTAGCATATTACCTACAATTTCACATTTATAAGTAAAACAGCTTCTTAGGTTTAATAAATGTTATGGAACATTCTCTATAACTTAAAGATTGAATATTTATTCTGTACTTTATAATATACTATCATATCTATCCTTTAGTAATTTTTGATAGGCACTTTGAAAAGCAGATCTGAAACATTCATGTGGAAAGTCTAGTTATTAAATGCTAAATAGGTCTAACTGGTAGGAGCATAACAAAATAAACACAATAAATTATCATTGAAAATTTAAAGCTGCAAGGGACTTAAGAATCTTTATCTTATTTCAGAAAATGAAGAAATGTTACCCAATTAAGTTTGTGTTAGAGTGAAATCAGAACACAGTTTTCTGAAATTTTATACTCTCATATTGTCCTCCTTTATTAAAAAAAACCAACAAAAACCTATAAAGATAAAAACCAAAATATTTTCACAGTACTTTAAACAACTATTCCCTCTGTAAATTCTGGAAAAACCTTTTCATAAAAACAGAATCCACAATCACTGCCTACAATCGACTTATATAGTAGACCATACGGCAGAGGAACTTCAGTGTTCTATAAAGCTGTATATGTAATTTTCAAGAGAAAAAAGTACTATACCTATTGATATACTAAACAAAAATACTTAATCACATGAATAAGAAGGTAATACTTTCCTTTTTAAATTTTTTTAAATTTATTTTTGTTATGGGTACATAATAGTTATACATATTTATAGGGTAGATGTGATGTTTTTATATAGGCACACAACGTGTATTAATCAAATCAGAGTAACTAGGGTATCCATTACCTCAGGCATTTATCATTTCTTTGCATTGGGAACATTCTAATTCCACTATTTAGTTATTTTAAAGTATACCATAACTTATTGTTGATTATAGTGGCTTTGTAGTGCTATCAAATATTGTTCATTCTATCTAGCCATCCAATTATATTTTTGCACCTATTAACCATCCCCACTTTATCCCTACCTCCCCACTACTCTTCCCACCCTTTGCTAACTCTCAGTCTACTCTCTGTCTCCTTGAGATCACTTGTTTTAATATTTAGCTTCCACATATGAGTAAGAACACCCAAGATTTGTCTTTCTGCTCTTGGTTGATTTCACTTAACATAATGTTCTCCAGTTCCATCCATATTGTTGCAAATGACAGGATTTCATTCTTTGTTGTGGCTATATAATATTCCACTGCATATATGATTCAGGTAGGCCACGGGCAGATCAACTACTTCTCCCCGTGAGAAATCGGATCCCTTAGGTTGGGGTCATCACAGAGGATAAGAAATTAATAGGAAATAGAATAATGGAAATAAAAGAATACACAGAGATGAAAGTATCATTTTATAGATTTATATAAAGAAATTAGCATAAAGCGAGGGTACTCAGGGGTCTCCACTACATCTCCGTCAGTAGTGGAGCCACAAGCAAAGATTCACACAGGTTTTATGATCACAGATATCAGTTCTCGGTTGCCAGGAGTAACAGATTTACATAATAACAGGTACTTCTGCCAGAAGTAACAGATTTACATAAAACAGGTAGTTCAGGTTCAGGAGTAACAGATTTACATAATGACAGGCAAAAAGGTTTTTCAAAGGGCCTCTAACAATTTCTAATCTATTCTATGTGAACAAGATCTTTCAAGGACTAACTTCTAAGTTCTAAGAGATAGCTATCAATTAACAGAGGGGTAACAGAGATATAGTGGCTCCTTATTTCTTTTATCTAGTTATTGTGGATTGGAAGTTCAGCTCTTTGTGATAACTGCTCTTAGCCACATGTGTTCGTCTTGGTCTAGGCACTCATTATTCTGGCTCCCATTCTATGTCTTGTCTTTCAAGAACAGGGGGGTGCCATGGTTTTGAGATATGGCATCTCATGGGATACAGCCCCAATCGGACCTTGAGATGCCCTCCCGAGGCAAGGCAGCCTTTGATATGCAAACTAACAAGTTCACATATTCCTTCAGGGCAAAGCCCTGCAAAACTCCTGAAATTATTTCTGCCTTTAATATTGCAATATTGGATGATACAATAAAAAATAAGCTTATGAGCCACATCTCATTAATTTCTCAATCATCTTTCCTCAACATATATGTACCACAATTTCTTTATCCATTCATCCATCGATGAACAATTAGGTTGATTCTATATCTTGACTATTGTGAATAGTGCAGCAATAAACATGGGAGTGAAGATATCTTTCTGATATACTGAATTCCCCTATTTTGGAAATATTAATATACCCAGCAAGTGGGATTGTGGGGTCATATGGTAGTTCTATTTTTAGTTTTTTGAGGAACCTCCATACTGTTTTCCATGCTGGTTGCACTGATTTACATTCCCACCAATAGTGTACAAGTGTTCCCCTTTTTCCACATCCTCGCCAACATTCATATGCCTGTCTTTTTAATAAAAGCCATTTTAACTGAGTGAGATTTTGTACTATAATTTTAAGTCAGGTAATGTGATTCCTCAGTTTTGTTCTTTTTGGTCAGGATGGTTTTGGCTATTCTGGGTCTTTTGTGGTTCCATATAAATTTTAGGATTAAATTTTATATTTTTATAGCAATTTTTTCTATTGCTGTAAAGAATGTCACTTTTATGGGGATTGCATTGAATCTGAAGATTGGTTTGGTTGGTATGGACATTTTAACAATATTGATTTTTTTTAAAAATCCAACTTTTTGCTTTATCGATCTTTTTTATTTTTTGTTTCAGTTTCATTTATTTATGCCCTGATATTTATCATTGCCTTTTCTCCACTAATTTTGGGTTCTGTTTGCTTTTGTTTTTCTAGTTCTTTAAGATGCATCATTAGGTTGCTTATTGGAAGCTTTTCTAGTTTTATGATGTAGGCACCTATTGCTATAAACTTTCCTCTTAATATTGCTTTTACTGTATCCCATAGGTTTTGATATGTTGTATTTTCATTTTTATTTGTTTTGAGGAATGAAACAAAAGAAATACTTCAAATGGTAACACTTCTTTTTGAGGACAAATCCAACTTCTTTGAATTTATTTATGGATAGCTTCTTAGGTATTCTTAAATTCTTTTCCTTTGAGCACTTTGTGAGCTCCCATTTGGTTTATAAATATCTTAAAAAGTTTTCTCTTCATTAAAATATATCCTTTGTTCTTTTTTGTGTGTGTGTACTGAATTGTTTGCCATTTTCTTAACAATGTTTAGGAGTTATTTACACATTTTAATTAGTAATCTTTTGTCATTTTATATCTCTGGTTTGGACTTATCTTTTCCCTTCTTGACATCTTGATGAGCAGCAGCAGTTCTTAACTTCAATATAATTTATCTTTGCCTTCATGGTTTGTGTCATTCATGCCTTCTTTAAGAAATTTTTACTAACTCAAAGGTGATGACAAAATTATCTTATATGTTTTCTGAATCGTATTAAAGTTTTGCCTTTCACAAGTTTTTAAATTCATACATAAGTCCTTAAATCCTTGATTTTGGGGTATGGTATAAGAGGCAAACCCAGTTTCTTTCCTTACCCCACCCAATAAGGATAGACAATTGTCATAGTACCATTACTGAACACCCTCATCCTTTCCTTACCAACCTGTAACACCAAGTTCGTCATCACTCAAAATGTATACAATTATCTCTCCCTGAGTTCTTTATTTTTTTTTGTCTATCTTTGTTTCTGTATCACACTGCCTTAATTAATATAGCTTTATAATAAGTTTTTATAGCTGTATGTCAAGAACTCCACATTTTCTTTTTCTTAAAGAGTACTTACATGTTCTTGGACCTTTGCTTTTCTATATAAATATTGTTGGGTTCTCAATGAAACTTTATAATTTTGTTCATAAAGGTCAGAATCACATCATTTTAAAAAGTAATTTTTCTAGGTACTTTATTTTTCATTACTATTATAAATGGTACCTTTTGCCTTCCCGGGATTTTTCAGTTGTTGGTTAATTTCTCATACCCATCAACCTCCCTCTTTCTTTTTTGGCATTTCCAAGGTTGGTCTGGAGGAAGGAGCCAGCAATCGGTGTAAATTTGCCTGTCTTGTCAGGAACCACTCTCTGAGAAACTAAGGTTTTCTAAACTCTGGAATCTCAATTAACCCTCCCTGTGACATTTTTAGTTTTCACCATCAGAATGGCTTACCACTAGACATATATTGTTGAAATCTTACTTTAGAAAAAAATCTCATTACATCTTATTTTTACCTCAGTTTTGTGTTGCTTTCCTCGTCCATGTCTTGATTTACAGTTGTCAAACTATGGGTATGAATGTCTCCATATTCTTTTTCTGAATTAAACTATGAAGTAACTGACTGTAAAAATATATTCACATTATTTTCTTTAATATGAAAGACAATTTGACAGCTATGACTATTGATATTCAAAGTTGCATGTATAGTTCCCAACTTCTCATGTGGTTTAATATAATATTGTAATAACCTTCAAGTATTTCTTATATATAGTATAATTTCTTGACCCTTCACTAAGCTAGCTAGACCCTTCACTAAGCTATCCTTCTCAGGGAAATCTCTACATTGTCTAAATTCCTCTCCAAGGCAATTTTTTCTCTCTTAAATTGATGGGTTTATGTACATACAAATTTAGTTTACATTACATACTAAAGATAATAAGTTTTAAGATCACTTCCTTAGGGAAGATCATCAAAAGGAACTTAAGAAAGTCAACAGAACTAGTAGCTCAAGCTGTTGAACTAATTTCACCATTCACTAAGCACTAAAAGGCCACATCCATATATAACCAAAATTCCTGAGATAGAATAGAACAATAGGAAGTGAGTTTTGAAATATGAAAAAGAGAGTCTCTTTCTGATTACTGAGGGAAATCCAACAAGATACAGAAAGTTTCCAAATAAAGATGATGAACTGTAGGGAAGTATACTATAACTGAAGAATTTAAGCCTAGAATCAATGTAGGGTAGAAAAATCTTTAACTGGCAAGTAAATATGCTTCAGACAAATCAAATAAGATAGAATTAAAGAGGCAAGAGCAGTTCCATAGAAGGATTACTCACTACAGCCAAGAACAGAAGGATACAACTTTACCCATATCTTGAGATAAGATGAAGAAACAGATCCTAAGGGAGATATATCCCACTGGATTCAAAAGCATCCCTGAATCAAACCCATTCTGGATTTGTAGTAAAGCAGCAGTCAGTAAACTTTTTCCAAAAAAAGACAAAAGAGTAAATATTTCAGGCTTCGTGGGCTGACAGGCAAAATTGAGGATATTACATAGGTACTTATATAACCAAAGAAAAAAACAAATTTCCACAAATGTTTTACTGATTAAATTTAATATATGATAATAATAATTGTGTACAATTTTTTTCTAATACAGACCTATAAGAAAAATAAAATTACTTTTTGGAGGGATAACATCTCACTTAACTGAGATGTTATTTTACCTATCACTAAATTGGTTGTAAACATTCATTTAGTAAAACCATTCTTAGCTTGTAGACCATACAAAAATGGTTGCCAGGCCATTGTTTGCCAACTCCTTCAATAGAGTATATGCTAACCCCAACTTCTGCTTTGACTTCGGCATGACTTATATATTCATGCTCTTATATATTCTTATATAATTACCACCAAACATCCAAAAAACATAAGAAAAGTTGTTCAACCTATTAATAAAATACTATAAAATAATCAAATTTGTTAATCTTTTTTCCTACAAGTGAAAAATATGAAGTTAGCCCCATATTTCTCCACTGTGACATACAAATGCCAAGTTTTCCTTTAAGCATGAAGATAACAAACATTTTCAAACTTCAGGAAAGAAATTCAGGAAAGATATCAACCATGAGCCCTTCTTATAAAAAGCATATAACAATAAAGGCCACCAACACAGAGATAAAGAGAGAAAACTTGGAAATAAAGGAAATAATAGTAAGAGCAATAAACTCATTTAAATATAGAACTAAGTCAAAACAACTATGAGACTTATGATTATGGAACAGAACTTTATTACTTATATTTAGATAGTAAAATATATAAATATAAATATAGAAATATAAATATATGTACTAAAAAGAAATCAAGAAATGAATAAAAGGAGGTAAATGGAATATAGGAAGAATAAGTGCTTTGATTTCCTCATCTTTCAGATATAGAGGTCAACAGACACTGTTTAAGGCTGACAAATAAAACAACAGAAGTTTAAATATATTATTAAAAAGTAAAAAAGTACTCATAAGAAGAACAAGAATTATAACATAACCAATCAAAATCTGGGAGTAGGAGGCATCAGATAAAATGTAAATGGCATGAATTATGTTCTAATGTCTTCATTTTACAATGAGAAGTCAACAGATGCTATCTAAAATGCAGAGATCACAAAATAAAAGTTGAAGTATAATGTATTATGTTGTAAGTCATGAACTAAAATAATGCATGAACCTTCCAAAGTATTGGAAGCAAAACAAACTATGTGTTTACACAAAATAGGGATTTAAAACATAAAAAAAAGTTGAAAAAAGTTGAAAAGGATAGTTGTAGTTGACTTTAGTAGGTTATCTGTACAATACTCATTTCTTCCTTCCCTTTCCCAAACAGTACTCTGATTTTTACTCAGGTAGATCTGAATAAGTTACCAATAAAAAAGAAACAGAGATGGAAAAAATAAAAGACATGTTAAATATTATAGAGAATAAAGTGATACATCTGATATAAAACAAATCAGGAGTATAGAAAAAAAGAGAAAATACGAATATAATGACTGAGAATTTTCTAGACACTAATCTGCAGTTTCAAAGACTCCAACAAATTCTAAGCAGGATGAACATATACATATGAGCACATATATGCACATATGTACACATGCAACATAGTGAAACTGCAGAATACCAAAGACAAAGAGGAGATCCATACAGTATCAGAGATAAATTATGTAAGCTGGAGAACAATTAGACTAAGAATGGGCTTCTTGATAGAAAAAAAAAATCTAAACCAAAAACAATAGCATCTTTAACGTGCTAAATAAAAATAATTGTCAATGTAGAATTCTATACCTGGTAAAAATACATTTCAAAAATGAAGGCCAAAAAAAGAGAGTTTTAGGCAAACAAGATCAATGAACATATATAAAGAGTATCCTAAAGGACTTCAGAAAGTCCTATGATCCCAGATGGAAAGTCTAAGATGAAAGAAAGAATTATAAACAAAAGATGTAATGAATATGTGGGTAAAACTAAACAATGACTGACTGCATAGAGTGAGAGGGAACTAAAATAATAGGATAGAGGTCAGGAGAGGGATGATCAGAACTAAGATCTTTGTGTTCTAAGATCTTTCTTTTTTTCTGGAGGAAGATAAAAAGACTGACTAAATGTATACTTTGACAAGTATATGTCTTAATATTTTTATAGTAACCACTAAAAGAATAAACTGAATGCATAAACTCTAAGCTAATAGTTGGGGGTGAAGGAGATGAAATAAAAATAAAATATATAAGCAATCAGTCTAAAAGAAGAAAGAAAGGTAGGACAAAAAAGTACAAAATAAGGTGGCAGAAATAAATAGAAACAAATTAAAAATTACAATCAATATAAATGAACTAAATTACCTAAAAAGCAAAAACAGTCAAACTAAGGAGAAATTCCAGTTATACCCTGTTTAAAAGGCAAATCTTGAAAACATAAGGATACAAAAAGGATGCAAGTGAAGGACAGGAAAAAGGTATACTGGGCAACTATTAAAGAAAATAAAGATATTATAGCTATATATCAGAGAAAAGATATCAAAGCAGGGTCACTAGATATAAAGAAGGTTACTGTATAATGATTGAAGGTTCATTTCACCAGTAAAATAAAACAGTTCTGAACTTGGACCTAACAACACAGTTTCAAAATATATAATGCAAATGTATAACGTATAATATATATTGCAAAAAACTGACAGAACCATAAGGAGAAATAAATAAATCTAGTATGATAATGGAGCATTTTAACAAACTTACTTCAGTTAATCAAGCCAGTCCCCTCTCCTGTCAAAACTAGCAAAACAACAACAACAAAACCATTAAGGATAAAGATTTGAACAATAAAATTTAGAACATATATATATGTACACACAAATTATATATATATATATATAATGCATCTCAAGAAGAAGAACATATTTTTAATCACACATGGCATAGTTTGAAAATCAACCACCTACTAGAATATAAAGCAGTTCTTAATGAATTTTAAATGATTTATCATTATATAGTCCAAATTCTATGACTACAAGGCAATTAGATTAGAAATAAAGAGATAAATAGTGAAACGCCATAAATTTGGAAATTAAGAAACATATGACTAACTAACTCGTGATTCAAAAAAGGAATCATAATAAACATTTCAAAATAGTAGGAAATAAATGCTAACTCACTAAATATAAAAATTTATAAAATGCAGCTAAAAATGTACTCACAGGTAAATAAGCCTTAAATGCTTATTTCTTTTTTTGATGGGAGCTTTTATTTTTCAGTCCAACAATAATAGAGTTGAAATACCTATAAATAGTAGGAAGCAACAAATAATAACATTTTTTCATCTTGTCTCCTTATCTATGGCCTTTTTAACCTGGATAAATGAGAAACTTTCGAATTTTAAAAAGTAAAAAATTGTTTAAAGTCTTTCTCAGTTGTACAATGGTTTACAAATCTGGCTGCATATTAGAATTACTTAGGAAGAATTTTTTAAAAATATTGATGCCTGGAAACTCAAGAACAATTAAGAAAGACTCTTTGAGCATGGTGCACAGGAATGGGTAAAATGCTTCCCCAGTGATATCAATGAGCAGCCAGACTTACAAACTAATAATTTAGATAAATATGAGTAGAGAATGATAGCATTCAGAAGAACTGGGCTTAGGATTTTACTAAAAGGTCAGAGTTATGAAGGTATTTTATTTCTTTGTAGCTATTGGGAATGGTATTGAGTCTGTGATTTGACTCTCAGTTGACTGTTATTGGTATATGGAAATGCTACTGATTTGTCTACCTAGATTTTATAACCTGAGACTTTGCTGAATTTTTTTATCCATTCCAGGAGTCTCTTGGTGGAGCCTTTGGATTTTCCAGATACAAGACCATATCATCAGCTAAAAGTAATAATTTGACCTCCTCTTTCCCAATTTGGATAATATTTCTTTCTTTCTTGTGGTGATTGCTCTAGCTAGGACTTCAAGTACTACATTGAATAAAAGTGATGACAGTGGGTATTCTCATCTTGTTCTAATTGTTAGTGGGAATGCTTTCAACTTTTCCCCA